GCAAAAATAAAGTGATTTGAACGGGTTACTTTTGCCGTTTTTCCTAATTTTTAAAAGTTACCTTTTTTTTACTTTTCAAAATTTGACTTATATTTAAAAATATTTGCAAACAATTAGATGATAAATGCATATACAGAAACACAAAGGTAGAAGTAGTGTTTTTAACTCTAAGCTTAAATTGTAAAATAAAAAATCAATAATGACCTAAATGATGAGAGGAATCGCTTAGTATATTTAGCCCAAATTATATTTAGTTGATTTTTATATTTAGTTATTGTTTTTTCTTTAAAGAAAACCATAAATAAAGATAAAAATTATAGTARTTTTAAATATTCAAAGTATTGCATAAATATGGGAGGAATTTAAATATAAAATAAAGAACAATTATGTAACATACTTCTTTTTTTTTCTGAAAACTGAAAATAAAAAAAAACAATTTCATATGTTTTTGTTTTTAGAAAATGGAAAATGAAAAAAAAAACAAAAATATTATCAAACATTATCACATAACTATTTTGATGAAAATATACTATAATCTACGTTAATTCTAATTTCTTTTTTTGAGAAAATAATCACAAAATATAATAATCTCCAATTTATCTATAGCAAATCATTGATCACTTATTATTGACCAATAGATTATGAGTTCAAATCTCCACACCATAACTTACTGTGATTAAAATAAAAAAGTTAGCCTATCATTATATTACTTACTAAAACCTAAAAATATAGTCAATCAATAGCTATTTAGTTGGATATAGTACGTCATCACTAATGATAGGTTCATCAACAATTATTACATAGTCAAGATTCTTATTATTAGAAGAAACCACTTTTCTCTCTGTTCAACAAGAAATCAATTTTACAAATAATAAACTATTAAGCTCTATTCAATAGTACTAAACGGTTTTTTTACCACATGTACGAGTGAGAGATCAAAACTCACAATCCCTTGATTGGATAGACATATATATCAATTATTATTGAGTTATGTTTGGGTTCTTTTTTAAAGTATCACAAAGACATCTTTTAAATTATGAAATGGTCATAAAACTAACTCATAGTATTTTAAGATTTTGGAGATGTCTAGCGCATGTGTTAAAAGACAAACTCGAAAGGTTGGAATAAGTTTAAAGGTACAGCTATTTGTAGGCTATTACAATTGAGCTAGACACGAGGTAACATGTTCTAATGGTCCCAAAAAAACTAAGTGTTTGTATCAACAAAAATGTTACTTTTCTCCGAGGAAAATCACATAAAAGACAACAAATCTTGAAGTAAGAAAATGTCGGATTAGTTGGCTCCAGCTAAAAAGAGGAGCTGTTGTCATGAGTAAGGTAGGTATTTCATCATAATTAAGAGATTTGAGAGACAACCTGATTTTGATCATCTATTACATGAGCTTAACTGAAATCTAAATTATTGTTATAGATGAGTTAACTGAAATCCAAATTGTTATCGTAGAATGATAGAATATTGAAGAACCAATACCTTTAAGAAAAAAAATGAGTAAAGTCAATGAATTCCAAATCCATCGAGAAACTATACATATCTTCCTAACGAGTTAAAACTTATAGGTTACAAATGAATCTACGAAAATAAAGAAGGAAGTAGATGAAAATTGGTACAACACTTTGGCAAGACTGGTATTAGAGGCAAGAAGAGGGAGTGGCGGACTATTCTTGAAGGGGTTGTGCATGCTCAATATATATTACCTTTTTATAAAGATATAATAATGATACAGTGACAAGTTAATATAAGCATAGCTCAACGATAAAGACATCTTGCTCCTTTTTTAGAGGTCAGGAAATTCTCTATCTGCATATTTGTTGTACTAAAAAAATTATATAATGACAAAAGTAAAGGGACTTGAGAACCATAACATGGTAAAATATATTAGAAGAGTATCATAGTAGTACCAAGATAGTTTATAGGCAACATATATATTGATTTGTGTTTATAGGCTCTCCAAATACTCAAGGATTTGAAGTTACAGGTTTCTTTTTTGATACAACATATGGGGGTGGGAGATCGAATTCACAACCTCGTAGTTGAAGATATATGCTAATTACCGCTAAACTATACTCGCTTTGGCAATTTGAAGTTGCAAGTTACTTGGAGAGGATCTTTAATCCAGTAATACAAGGTATATATGTCACGCCCTCTAAAAGTAAAGTGGGAGATCACATTAAATATAAAATATGTTGAACTAGTTTGGTCCAAATCTCGCAATTATTAAACTAATATATTGTCTTAAGGCAAATAATTAACATAAGTGGAAGATTACTCAAGTTGGTCTCAAAGCATAGTAATTTATAAGTATTTTATTAGATACAAACAAAACCATCAATTTATTTATCTCTCCTAGTACCCATTAACTGAAAACATGTTTATAAAAATGCCCATAATATCTGCAAAAAGCCCTTGAGCAGTGTGTTTCCAGACAAATTAACTCTGAAAATATGTTCATACGTACACATATATATAAATATATATATATATTTTTTCTTTTTTCTTTTAGAGAAAGAGAGAGAAAAAGTGAGGACCAAGACAGAGCGATACCATATGAGGAGAAGCTGGAAAACAGAAAACAGAAAACAAAAGGAAGTAGAGAGAGAGAGAGAGTTGAATAATAAAAGAGTTTGTAAACAGTATCTTTTATTCATGATTTTAAATATCCGACACGTCGACACTTCCATCAATATACCTATGTTTTCATGGATTCGACATCGACATTAGGGATAAATTGACATTTTTATTATAGTACAACAAAATCAACAAAATAAGAAAAATATCAACAAAATATAATTAATATATACATAATATTAATATTAATTATTTTTAACTAATTTAGAAATAGGAAAATGCTTGTTCGTTAATTTAAATATTTTTATGATTTTTTAATTTTCTAATTTTTACAGAAATATTTATTGACATCGATATTTTATCGATATTTCCATTAATATTTCTATGAAGTTGAGACATCGATCGATATCAATATTTAAAATCTTGATTTTAGTTTGATTCGAAGTTGATATTAAAACTGAAAAAATGAAGGTGTATATATGGAAATGATCCAATAATGGCAATTCAAAAGAGAGAGAGAGAAGCATATGGGGCAGGAATCAGACCAACTCGATTACAGCCTTTCACTGTGTATCTCTCCTTTTGTTTTTCTGAGATGTGGTCCCTCTCCCCCACCCTCCCATGTGCTTCCCATCCCATTCGCTCTCTCCCGTCGTCTCGAAGATACGTGTCTTTCTTTAGTTGAATTATGTTTAAGTTAATCTTCGTTCAGCTCGTAATCTAAAAAATACGTATAGTTGAACTATACTCAAGTTACACAAGTTACATTCTTTTTGTTTCATGATTTCAGACTTGCGTGTGTTAACTAATTTAACAAATTGAACTATGTTCTATCCTCTCCACTTCATCTGCAATCTTGAAGATACATGTCTTAACCAGTTGAAGTATGTTCAAGTTTATATTCACTTTTTGTTTAATGATTTCAGACACACGGGTCTTAACCAACTTAACCAATTGAACTATGTTTCATTCTATTCCCTTTGTCTATAATCTCGAAGATACGAGTCTTAATCAGTTGAACTATGTTTAAATTGATTTTCACTTTATCCGTCATCTTAAAAATACGTGTCTTAACGTTAAACTATGACTCTGACTTCGTCCACTCAAATTGAACTATGTTTAGATTGAGACAAAAAAAAGGATTCTGGCAAACCTTTCAATAATTTATCCTCTGTGTTGGAACTGCCAACCTTTCTTTCGCTCACTTTCTTCTTCTCCATCTGAGCTCCAAGCTATGCTCTGAGCCATCCACGCCCAAATCTCTCTCGCTCTCTGTGTTTTCCTCTATGGAGAAGAAAACCCAGTTGGGATTCAACCATTTTCTGCTGATTTCTCTGTTTACTTTCTCCTCAATCTTCTTCTCTGCCAAGTCCCAAGAACTGACCATTGATGCTACTGTAATGCTGGCTCTGAAGAAGAGCCTCAACCCCTCTGAATCCCTCGGCTGGTCGGACCCTGACCCCTGCAAATGGAACCATGTCCTCTGCTCCGACGACAATCGGGTCACCCGGATTCAAATCGGCCGCCAAAATCTCCAAGGTACGCTCCCTTCAAATCTCCAAAATCTCACTGCCCTTGAGCGATTGGAGCTCCAATGGAACAATATCTCCGGCCCTTTACCCTCCCTTAGCGGATTAGCCTCTTTGCAAGTCCTTCTCCTTAGCGACAACCAGTTCACTTCGATTCCGGCCGATTTCTTCGCCGGAATGACCTCTCTTGATGCTGTTGAAATTGACAACAACCCCTTCTCGGCGTGGGAGATTCCGGCCAGTCTCCGGAATGCTTCCACTCTTCAGAACTTCTCTGCTAACTCTGCGAACATCTCCGGTTCGATACCGGAGTTTCTCGGCGGCGGCGACGACATTCCGGGGCTGACAAATCTGCATCTCGCTTTTAACAATCTGGAGGGGGGGCTTCCTTCGAGCTTCTCTGGGTCTCAATTGGAGTCTCTGTGGGTTAATGGGCAAAAGAGTGTCAATAAGCTAAGTGGGAGTATTGATGTTCTACAGAACATGACTTCTTTGAGTGAAGTTTGGTTGCATTCCAATTCATTTTCCGGTCCTTTACCAGATTTCTCGAGGTTGAAAGATCTACAGGTCTTGAGTTTGAGAGATAACAAGTTTACTGGTCCTGTGCCGAGTTCTTTGATGAACTCTGAGTCATTAAGAGTGGTGAATTTGACTAATAATCTGCTTCAGGGTCCAATTCCAGTGTTTAAAACAGGAGTTGCTGTGGATATGACTAATGGTTCGAATAGCTTTTGCAAGCCAGATCCTGGTGTGTGTGATACACGAGTAAATACACTGCTCTCCATTGTGAAATTTATGGGTTATCCTCAGAGATTTGCAGAGAATTGGAAGGAAGATAACCCATGTAATGATTGGATGGGAATCTCTTGCAGGAATCAGAACATAACCATCATAAACTTTCAGAAACTGGGGCTTTCTGGTGTGATTTCTCCTGAGTTTGCTTCCCTTAAGGCACTGGAGAGATTGGTTCTTGCTGATAATAACCTCACAGGTTCTATCCCTGAGGAACTTACAACCCTTCCTTTTCTAACTGAGTTGGATGTTTCCAACAATCAGCTTTCTGGGAAGATCCCAAAGTTTAGGAGTAATGTAATGGTGAGTACCAATGGCAACCCCAATATCGGGAAAGAAATGAGTAATCCGTCCCCGAGTGGTGTTCCATCGTCTGGAAGATCGCCTGACGGGAAGATTGCGGGTTCTAACGCTGGTGAGAAGTCTGGGGATGGGGATAAGAAACCGAATTCCATGATTGGAGTCATTGTGCTTTCTGTAGTTGGTGGTGTGTTTGTTCTTTTCTTGATTGGATTGGTGGTTTTGTGTGTGTATAAAATGAAGCAGAAGCGGTTTAGCCAGGTGCAGAGCCCGAATGCAATGGTTATTCATCCCCGGCATTCGGGTTCGGATAACGAAAGTGTAAAGATCACAGTTGCTGGATCAAGTGTGAGTGTAGGTGCAATTAGTGAAACACAATATGGTGGTAGCAGTGAGGCTGGGGATATCCAGATGGTTGAAGCAGGGAACATGGTGATTTCGATTCAGGTGTTGAAAAATGTCACTAACAACTTCAGTGAAGACAACATTTTGGGACAGGGAGGTTTCGGAACAGTCTACAAAGGAGAATTGCACGACGGGACGAAAATTGCGGTGAAGAGAATGGAGTCGGGAGTCATTAAAGGCAAGGGACTAGCAGAGTTCAAGTCTGAAATTGCAGTTTTGACAAAGGTTAGGCACCGACATCTCGTCGCTCTTCTCGGATATTGCTTGGATGGGAACGAGAAGCTTCTCGTCTACGAGTATATGCCTCAAGGTACACTTAGCAGGCATCTTTTCAACTGGCCAGAAGAAGGGTTGAAACCTTTGGAATGGACAAAGAGGTTGACCATTGCATTGGATGTAGCAAGGGGTGTTGAGTATCTACATGGTTTGGCACATCAAAGTTTTATACATAGGGATTTAAAGCCTTCAAACATTCTTCTTGGAGATGATATGAGGGCGAAAGTTGCAGACTTCGGTCTCGTTCGCCTAGCACCGGAAGGTAAAGGTTCTATCGAGACGAGAATTGCTGGGACCTTTGGCTATTTGGCACCCGAATATGCAGGTACTTGCCTTCGTATCTTTTTAATTTTTGTGTGCTGCACCTATGTCAAAACACCTTCAGTGTTAGATTTCAAATTTACACAGAAACTTATACCATGGCTTAGTTAGAACTTTAGCATCTTTTCATGGCAATGTTAGGAAGCTTATATTTAGTGCCTGTGTTTGCGATGACTCGATACTAATATAGATGTCCTGTTTTGCAGTTACTGGTCGGGTAACGACTAAAGTTGATGTATTCAGCTTCGGTGTGATTCTAATGGAGCTAATCACCGGGAGAAGGGCCCTCGACGAAAGCCAACCTGAGGAGAGTATGCACCTTGTAACTTGGTTCCGCCGGATGCAAATCAACAAGGACTCCTTCCACAAGGCCATTGATCCAACCATCGATCTTACTGAAGAAACGTTCGCCAGCATCAGCACCGTGGCTGAGTTGGCGGGTCATTGTTGTGCCCGGGAGCCATATCAAAGGCCTGATATGGGTCATGCAGTCAACGTCTTATCATCTCTTGTTGAGTTTTGGAAACCAACCGATCAAAATTCTGAAGACATATACGGCATCGACCTTGAGATGTCGTTGCCTCAAGCGCTCAAGAAATGGCAGGCTTACGAAGGTAGAAGCCAGATGGAATCGTCTTCGTCGTCCCTTCTTCCAAGCTTTGACAACACACAGACCAGCATACCGACGCGGCCATACGGATTTGCAGAGTCTTTCACTTCTGCAGATGGAAGATGAAAACTATTCTAATGTAAAAGATCACCTCTGGCTTTACAAGTTATTCCCATTTGCTTCTTGCAAAATAGTGTTTATATCTTGACCCTTCCATTTCCGCTGATTTCTCTATGTTTTTAGTATGGATATGTATTATTAGTGCTTGAACCAGAAAAGACTGTGAAGAGATGGGGAAAGGGATATTTAAATTTATCTCTTTAACTCTGAAACTTTTTGGGGACATTTTGTTAGAACTAAAACCTTAATTCTCCTTCTCACATCTTTGAGAGTAAATTTGGTTCTCGATACAAATAACTCAAAAATAAGTACAATTTCGTCATATTCTTAGATGCATTTCTAGATTATAAAGAAAGCATAACAAATAAAAGTAAATAATTGAAGTCTCCATTTCGTTTTTTTATTTTTTGAAAATTATGCTTATTTGCTCATTACTGTTTTAATATGTTTAAACTTTTTTTTGGAAACATATTTAACTACTTTGGTTAGTATTCAAATTTTAGCCTAGATTTTAAAATTAGATGCAAAACAAATAAATACATTAGTAAAAGTAGTGTTTCCAAACTTTATTTCTAAATATAGAAAATAAAAAAAATAAAATAGTTATCAAAAGAGAACATGAGAGAATAATTTTCTTTTGCAAGTTCTTTTCATTTGCAAGTGTTGGGTCATTGGCTCACTTAGGCCCAAATAAATATGTTTCAAAAAAAAATTAAGCTTGTACACACAACTTGCAAAAAAAATTGCACAATGAGAGCTTTCATTTCTACATGAGGAAAACAAGTTACGACAAGTCATGATTTGCAGAAAATTTAGTGTTAAAACTCGAACAAGAAATATATTGAAATATATAAAAGATATAGAAATTAAGGAACTACCAAGTAATTCGAGGTACTTGGACCCTTCCCTCTTCTCTTGAGTATTCTTACTCAAACCTAAACCATACTCACTCAATTCGATCCCTTCATCCTTAGACTTCCATTCTATTTATAATAATACTCCCTCACAACTTTCATATCTAATTACTAAGGTACCCTCGATACTCTAACAATATCCCTTTATAACCCTAAGGGCGATTCCTATCATTTAGATCAATAACTATCTAAAAATTATGATCAACCTAAACATAACTCAACTAATTAAAACACTTATCTCCAACTAAAAAAGTCATGAGTTTGAATCTCCACCTCTATTATCTATATGTTTGTACTAAACTAAAACTATCTAAAAACTATAAAGAGACCGAAACATGCAACAACTGTTGAAAGAGACGAAGCCACGATCAAGTTGGGATAGGAACGATGTAGAACATGGTTGGAGATGTCTTCGTCGTCTCATAGCGGATCCCCACCCCATTAAGAGACAGGAAAAATTAACACCCTAACCATGTATACATGGGTAGGTAGGTAGCCATAGGACTCAATGGCTCACATCTCACAACCAATGGCCTCCAAAAATCTTGCCCCATGCACCTGCCAGTCATAGCCAACCCTAGCCCAAGTCTGCATATACAATGTCAACTTCCGATTTAATGACTCATTTCACACACAAACTCTGACTGCCCTACTTTATTGCTCTCCTTTACTGGATCATTTCCAATGTATTATTCCACAATGTACAGATACATGCACAGATTTTAGATAGAACAACATACCCTTCAAGCGACCATATGAGGAGCTAAAGGTCAATCATGCACAACTTTTCTAACCAAAGTAAGATATTTGCATGCTTAAAGGACGCAAATTATCTCCTGTAGGATCCACTCGAAAAGATTCTATCAGCAACCTATATTATATTTGGGTCCCCTTTTACAATGTGGATCTAGGACCAATCATGACTCAATAGTGTAAATCTCGCACCACCTTCCTTTGGTGGCAATCCAATCATCAACCTTTTCGAGGTATGATCCAAGAACAAGTACAAACCAGCCAAACCATTCAATATCACTCACTATTATTATTCAAAGACATGTTCCTTCGAACTAACTTGAGAATCCAAGACTATTAAGATAATGATACTAACTGATGATAGTTGTCCATCTCAACAAACATTCCTTTTGCTTTACAGGCTATCTGACAAGAGACCATAAATTATCTGCAATCCATAAAAAGAATGTAGAAATCTGATCTATACTTTACACTTCTGCCTAGGGTCATCTTGTATAGTCAAATCCTGAGTTGGGTATCATTCAGCACGGTTCCTGTTAAGCAATGATTAACAAAATGCAAGACGGATTAGTCTTAACACAAATGAATTGAGAAAGATTTGTTCATCCCCAATGGTTTGGGAAGAATAAGGGGGGAAAAGGGTAGCAATCTGTGAGTTTCATTCGCAAACGTTTGAGAGAAAAATATGTAACATGATTAGTTTCCTTCTTAAATGTGCATGTTCTTCAACTCAGTCGTTCACTAGGGGTGTAGAAAATGCTGGTTAATACGTATTTGATCCAACGGTTCGGATTGAAAATCAAATTGGATGCTTTGTGGTATACAAGATTTCTTTTTGTAAATCAAATGGCCCCATAAATAAAAGAAGACAGTATTGGACCATTTGATTTAACAAAAACAAAATCCTGGACTGTGCGAAAGTTGACTAAATAAGCACAGTTCGGGAACGCTTCTAATAACTACTATAGTTATAGAGCTTACATGACAAACAGAAGCATAAAATGACTATAATATGAAAGGGATAGTCCTCACGACATTCTTCCTTGCATTACAGAATGATCGAAGGCTGTCTTCGTCAACGGTGCCGAGGCCCGATAAATTAACTCCATAGTTCGCCATTCTTTTAATATCTCGTGGAATGGGAGACTGCCAAAGTCCATCCCACCATGCTGGAGGGAGAAGAGGGGTTAAGGCACACTGATTAGGCTGGTTAGGACAGCTTAAAGGACCAGCAAATCTGTTCCAGATATGCCCCCAGCCAACCTGGTTCTTTAAACCTTCACTCAACAAATTACTTTGGAAGCTACTCAAGAATGAAAAATCTGAACCGGTAGAATTGTTCCCTGAGCATATTTGAAATGGCATGTTAGAAACAGTTGTACAGATGTTCATCTAGCAAATAATTCTGTTCCTACATTACCCAACGTGTAAAATGATCGAGAGAGCTTTTAAAGATACCGAGACTGTCGAGATTGTGTGCTGCTGCCAGTGCTGCGATTAGCTGAGCATAGGTAGTACCTACACGCCGGTGAGCACCAGAAATAACAGCATGCTTGGCACGGGATGCAAGAAAGAAATCAACAAAGGCAACCCATCTTGGTGACGGGCCCCAGTCCTTTACTCTGAAGTCCAGTTTATGGAATTCATCATGCATTCCAGAAATGTTTCCTCTGAAGTGTTCATAATCAAAATGAATGACCTGAAAACAGAATTGCAAATGAAACTAGTCCGAAATGGCTCTACAATCATAAGAAATATCTGGGAGGCTATGTTGTCCGCAAGTGACTTCATTTAACGAAATAGAATGGCACAATGAGGGCAATTACCTCTGCAAATTCACCTAAGATGGGCATGATACTCTTAACAAAATTTGGGGTATCTGATACTAAAACCAATCTGGGTTTTTGGACCCTGCTTAGATTAAGCATGGCTTTTCGGATGCACTGCAGTGCTGCCTGTAAACCTCGGCCGGATCTGAAATACAGATGTACATTACTCAGTGAAAGGAAAGGGTTACAAAATGATGCACATCCATGGTTTCTGTCAATCAAATGGAATTTATTGGAGGAAGACATTGTGGAATCAATTCTTATAGCTAGTTGCAGTAGAAGAGAGCAGGAAATAACATTAGTTAAGTAGTAATACCACCTATTCATAAGCATCCGCATGTGCAATGAAATATCAGGATCAATCCCACTTTTAAGGACTGAGTACATCGCTTCTTGAACATCCTCTGAAGGAGATATCAGAACTTTCATCAGTTCTCCAAATACATTAGGTCTAGATTCCAAAACCTCTGGTTGTCCAAATAAATTAGAAGCAGCAGCCCTCATAGTGGGATGTAAGTTCTTCAAGAAAAATTGAGCAGCCACAGCATCTGTTGTACCTTGGAACCTGATGCACTTCAGTCAGGATAAATAAAGTACACAGATTGAGTAACAGTTTAACATAAACTGAAAATTTACCATACCATATGATAGGATGCTCCCATTCCTTCCAATTACTACATAGAACATTTGTCTGTGCAGGCTTTTCAAAATTATCAGTTCGCATAATCAAAGGCCTGTTGTATTTCCTACCACAACCATTAAGTCTCCATAAATGCTTGATTTCTTTCAAGGTAAATGAAATATCAGAATAAGAAATGTAGTCCCCAAAAGGAAACTTGCCCCTGAAAATAGAAGTGATAGTATTAGTACTGTCAAATAGAGAAAAAGGAATATTTAAAGAAAAAAAAAAACATACACATAATAGGTCAGGTTCATATGCATTCCATCAATGCATGAATATATAGACCTATCTCATAGACATGTACAGTTTCTTCTGATTTTTTATAATGAGAAAAACAACTTTCAGTGAGAACAAATGAAAGAATACAAGAAGCCGAAGAAAAAGATAGCCCAAGCCAAAGGGTGCCAAAAAGCAATCAATGCAAAGGAAAGAAAGAAGGAAAAACAGAAAAGTAACCGTACATGATGCACCACTAGTTTGCCTATAACTTGAAATGGCAGTGTGAAAGAACTGTCATAGACATTAAATGCTTCTAACAACTCCATGCATTTACGGTATTCAAAAACCAATATTTAAAGAAATAAAAAGGATTGAGATAGAACTAACATGCCTGGTTTGCCCAATAATCAAGGATCGGTTTAGCATTATACTTAAAGCTCCAGCAGTTAGAATCTTGTACATCTCATTCCCAAAGCCTGCCTCTGAAGCTTTGCCTAAGACAAAACCGTGTTTGCAGAACTGCTCAGGAGGAAGATTTCGCACTCTTGAAGCACCTAAAATGAAATTTTTGAGTAAGCTAATAGATCTAAAAAAACAAGTTTTCCACCAGAAAACAAATATGACAAAAGTTTTCGCAGTGAAGGAAAATCCAAAATGGTTTGTCATACATATTGTCCATAAAAACCAAAAGAAGATGACATCATTATAAACTTCAAGAAACCCACAGATGGTAATCAAGACGATCAAAGCTTTAAAACTGTTGCGTGAATAAAGAATAAGAGTATAGACTCGAGCAAGTGTGCAGTTGCACAACACAACACCATACAATAACCAGTACTAATTTTCCCTATGACCAATTAATTCTAAAGAACATATCTGTGTAAACGATTCCTCCGTTATGTATTCTTTCATTCGCAGGTCCACCAGAACTCATAAGACACAAGGAGTTCAATTTTTGAGGTCTTCACTAAAACGTCCTATTCAAAGGTAGCAGTGGTTACAAAGCCATTTCACTTGTTCAAAGGCTGCTAACTCACTCCTTTACAAATAAAGTGGAGTACTTAACAATCCTGAGTATACTAACCAATACACCAGAATAGGAAACTAACAGCAGCATTTAATGACTAGAGTTATACTGAACCAACCAGCAGACTAACCAACAAATATAAGTGTCAGCCTATTTCATACTAATCCACTCCAATGATTGTCTTCTTTATTATAGACCTAACTACTTGAAGAACTATTGAGTCCTCATTTTCAATTTCATAGCAGCTCAAGGAGACCATTCTGCATGCACATGTGGTACCATAATGCAATTATGATAACCTTTTCTCAATTTCAATGTTTCTTCATATTCTTCCTAAACACTAAGGTTTGCAATTCTTTGCTCCTTCGTCTATGGCTCTACAGTTGTTTTTTCCATGCATGACAAAGAGACCCTTCTCTCTTCTTCTTTGTTATTCCATGTCTATCAACATCTGAAACAAGGTATCATCCCTATAGCTGGTGACTTTACATGCTCCCATCAACTCTCCCTTCTCCATTATTAGATCCTTTGGCAGGGACCTATGGGTTTTGTCTTGTTGGAGGGTTAAAGCAAAAACTTCACTTGTAATTCTTTCATGGAGAGCATTGCAGATTCTAACTGCTTGTTCCAAAAGGGGAGGTAGGCAAAGCTTTGTAGAAACTAGCTTTATGGAAACTCAAGCTCCCAAAAAGACCGATAGAGTGAAGCCTTTCTCTGAATTTATCCATATGTATTATTGTAGCATTTGCAACAAAAATCAGCTTATGCCTCTCTTTTCATACCTTCACAAAGTTGCCATCAGAAAGCTTGTTAAAATGACCTTGATCTTATGCCTATAACTCTGGCCTCTAACTACTTGAACCTAATAACTCTCAACTTGTTTCAGTACAGCGAATTCAATCCAAGGACTTGCAACAACTTCACTCGGATAGAAAAGGAAATAAGCAACAGACCAAAAGATAGATGTGTTTTAGTTCTAGCTTCCACAAAAACACAAAATTGTAAGTTTAAGTATGTAGTATCTTATTTTACGTCCCTTCATTGGAATGAATCTTCCTGTGACCAATAATGAGGTGGGGAAAAAAGGTTGAGCAAGTACCTTTGGCATCTATCTTAGTTATATTACAAGTTTAGTCCTAGAAGTTTCAAGGTTGTGTCTATTTAGTCTCCGTACTTCAAAAGGTTTCTAATAAGCCCCTAAACTACCAGGGTTGTGTCTATTTAATCTTTATAACTTTAAAAGTTTCTAATAGGTCCCGTTGTTCTTACATGGCACATAAACGGATGTTGGGTGTAATCGTTAAATAATACAAGTTTTAGTGAGGTTGGACAAAATACCTTAGTTTTTGATCTAGGAAATCATACCCCCAATACCCCAAATTATGTATTTCTGCCCTGCTAATAATCCATTGATGTTCCACAGCGAGGGTATGGTTTTAAAATTTTCTTTTAATCGTGTGAAAAAATACACTCACTACGGAGAATTGATAGTTCATTAGAAGGGGAAAAAATGGATCATGAGCCTAAAAAATCGCTCGTAGTCTGGTTATTAAATGGAAAATGAAAATCATCACTCCGATAACCTGGCCCAAAAACGACAAGAAATTCTGATTTCGAGTAACAATTTAATTGCTCATATAACAAACTATCAGACGATCAACAAAGGGAGTGCAGACAGTTAGCAGAAATGCATATAAGGAAATATTACCATTCAAATAAAAGTGATTTTGAATAATTTTTCTTACTCTCAGGCTTTCCTTCCAGACACCATCTTCTTTAAAGGCCTCTCCCATCTGTTCCACCGTCGCGCAGGAGCTCCGCCTTGGCTCCACTCCACTCCGAACCTGACTTTCTCCAACTCCTCCGTCGCCATTACCAAGCTGATCAGAGCTCGATCTCGATTCTCGAGCTTCAAGCCTCATAAAAATGTTGAGCATTAAGAATCCAATTGCAGCACCGACAGCACATAGAACGACGACATAGCGCGCAAACGGTGGCGGTCGCTTCCTCCTGGATCCACCATGCCTCATTTTTTCGTCTGCTTCACGATCTTCTGGAGATTCAGACTGTTATTCCGAAGAGAAGCGGATTCGACCTCAGTGTGTTAAATTTTCTACTTCCTGGATTGAGGATTCTATACTTCATATCTTGGCTCGGGTTTTCCACCGGGCAAATCGGAACAAACGAACTAATTACAAACGGGTTAAATTTAACCCATCTCTCAATCATTCAAGAAACAAGTGCTTTGGTTCACAATTCATATTCTGATTTTTGTCTTCGGATTCACTTAGTCGCGTAGATTTATCTTTTAAAATTATCCTCTAAATCACATAAATTTTAACAATTATATTCGTATAGGTCGTGAAAATAAGCATAGTTCAATAGTAACTGACATATCTCCAATTAAAATGTTGAAAAAAAAAATCGCTTCATTGAGTTGAACACTTGGAAGAGTTATCATGTCAATCACTTTCATTCCTTTCATTAGACCTTTTATAGCACACTCGTAGTTGTAACTCTAACTCGATTATTTTCTAATGATTCTTGTATTCCGTAAATCACGTCAATTCTCTCTTTGTTGACAATATCTTTGACCCAACCCTTTAACAAGTGTTGCAAGTATTAGACATTTTACCTCAAGAAAAAGCTAACTCTAGAACTTGAAATGATTCGAGCGATGTGTCTTAATTATTTTTTCAAGCGAGTTCAATCTTCGTCCTACTGCTGTCAAACTAAAAATAAATTAAATTTTATTATTTGATAATATTTAATTATTTTTATAAATTAATAAGGGATGGGGGTAGGAAATAGGAATTACTTAATCTTAAATATGTTAAGAAATTGATTTAAAAACATATTTTACAAATAATTAAAAAAGTTAAAGGATGGGAATTACATTCCACTTCTTCATTTTCCCCTACAAAATTTTAATTGAAAGGGAAATTCTCATTTTGGTTATTTTAAATTTTTATCTTATAAAATAGCATTTGATTTGAAGTACTATTGAGAGGTGAGTCCTTTGAGTTTGAACTTCATCTTCTTTAATTTATAACAATCAACCTTTAACTGTATTTTATTTATCATGCAGCATATTTATGTTTTTTTTTTTAATGTTTATGTAATTTATAGCTTGATTTTTCTTAATTCGAATTTATTTTCAATTATTGTCCAATTTCCTCTACTTAAGAATTTTTAGTCAATTTTAAAGGGAAACGTCTCTCTTTTCTTGAAATTCTTCTCTTTTTTTCTTTTTTTTTTTTTAATTCTCCATTTTACCTTAGAGTCATTTACGAGGTGGAGAAGGCCAATGTAGACATTACTGGTCCTAAAGTTTAGAGTTTAACCTTTTGGCAATGCAATGCAATTTTGGCAATTTTGGCAAGAAAATCTTAGAGTTAATTAAGGGATGAAATGTAACTCAAAAAAAAAAATTAAGGGATGAAATGTGTCGAGTTTAACCTCATTCTTGTCGATATTTTGGCTACTCGAAGGTGTGAGGTCGGCTGAGAAAATGGGACTTAATTTTATAATTATTGAATATATTTATAGGGAATCAAATGAGGTTGCTCATTTTGTTAATAGAGAGGGTTGGATGATTCATGGTTTTCTAATTTTCCTTGTCGAATTTTTTAAAAAGACGAGACGGTTTTTTTAGTACAACATGTGGGGTGGAGGGATTTGAACTCACGACTTCCTAGTTCGACATAGGTATCTTAATCCACTAAACTATGTTCAGGTTAGTGACGAGACTAATTTGATATTAAGATTCGATATAGATGAAATCGTGGAAACGGGCATGACTTAGTCAATTATTCTCGCAATTCAGATAAGATTCGGACCGCCACTTCTCTGAAAGCATAGTTCTTGCCTCCCTCCTTGGAGCTCGTCCATTCCTTGGGTGATCCATTGCTCTCACGTTCAAGTGTTTGTTTGTTGTTTAGGCTGGTGAGTGAGATCTCGTGTACTCCGACTAATAAGAGATAGGTTTTTTTTCTCCCCAAGACTTGCTTGCTTTGTATGGAGTACCGATCCCGTTAAATGCAATGTGGCGAAAAAGATTGATGGATGGGGTAAGTGGTTTAAATTTGGTGAGGTTGGACACTGATAAATTTTAGGGAAGAGTAAGTTGAGAGAATGACAAAATATGATTTGACATTGAATTGGATACAAACCTATCATCTTATTTATAAGGTAGGATAATATAAGACATTTAAATCAATTAATATCTAAATCAAATAAATTTCAATTCCTAATAGCAAACCTAAATCCTATCAAAATCATAAATTATATCAAATCATATCGTAAATCATATCACAACTAACAGTTTACTTTGAACTTTTTTTTTCATCATTGTGCTTTGTGGTTCATTTTGATCTTTATACTTTTAAAATGTCTATTTTAGTTTTTGGTCTTTCAACTTTTATTCATTTCAGTTCTCCTACTTTAAAAAATAATTTATCCCTTCATTTTCATTTTTATATCACTTATTTCAATCATAATTTTAACATGATATTTCGCTAATTAAATTTCTTTAAACGTAGTCGTTAAATGATAAATTTCAATCAAACACAAATTAACACGTCATTATTTTTTAGATTAATTATAAATTGACACATGTATATCCAAATTAAATTAAAATACATGAAAATTTGGACAATTAAATAAAGTCACCTAGCCGTGGTCTTAAAGAAAATTAGCAAAGTCTAAAATCCATTAAATAATCAACTAAGCCCAAGCACAAAGCTCAAGTTATGTGTGTGTATATATATTTCTATTTTAGCTCTTCTTTCTTTTTTGTCCATTTCGCTACCAAATTATCTATGGTATATATCTATTTCGTTTTTAACTAGTATTCAAAATCAAAAACACTCTGACAAATCGAGCATCGTTCAAATGGTTAAGACACTTACCAGAAGGTCATGAGTTCGAACCCCACTCCCATAATGTTGATCAAAAAGACAAAGTCGCGGGGTAATGAATTGGTCAACCAAGAAAAAGATTTAGCCATGTGGCTAGATTTGTGTGTGTGTTTTTTCCTCCTTTTTTTTTTTATTTTTCTAAAGTTATGTTTCTTTGTAAGCTTTGTAAGCACATGTGTTTTGTGAAAGCATAATCCTAACTCAATCCTAACTTTTATATTTATCCTATCTCTTATTCCCAAATTTGAAACTTCTTTAGTTCTTGAATTTGAATAAAACAAATCATTTTAATCATTGTTGTTAATTTTTTTAGTAGACTACATAACATCCATATACATTTTGTTTATGTACCTATATTTACATATAGCTAAGTGCTTTAAAGCACGTGTAATAAATTATAGGTTATATTTTCAAATGAATTTTAAGTTTTGGTTAAATGATGAATGAAAAATCAACAAAAATTACTATAATAATTTTTTATGCAAAATTTAAGGACTAACACTAAATAATTAAATGTCAAAAATAAAATTATACAAGTTTAATCCTGAATTTTTAAAGTGGTGCTTAATAGATTCCTAATCTCTAAACTTTTAAAAAGTGTTTAATACATCCTTAAACTTTTAGTATCGTGTTTATAAATCTTTGAATTTTATGAAGTATTTAATAGAGTCTTTGAACTTTCAAATTTGTGTTTAATAGCTGCTTCCCACTTATTCAACATTTGTTTTAAATTCAAGAACACACTACACACATAATCCAATTTTGTAGGTAGATACGAAGATTTTTTTTTTTTTTAATAATTAACTAGATACAAAATTGAAAGTTTTAGGTTGCATTTGATAACAATTACATTTTTTATTTTCAATTTTTAAAAGTTAATCTGAGAAACATTACTTTCCCCTACATTCTTTGTTTTATAATTTAGTTTTATAAGGATTTCCAAAATCTAGGCCAAATTTTGAAAATAAAGAAAAAATATCTCTCAAAAAGTAGTTTTTATTTTTGAAATGTGACTAAGCATTCAAATATATTTTGAGGAGAGATGAAAAATTTAACATCGAAATTATTCAAAAAAAAAACTATAAACGAAATAGTGACATAAATTTAAAATTTTATAGAGTTATTAGATACATGTGGAAAAATAATTTAACAGGACAAGAAATATTTAAAAATTTAGAAAGAAATATAAGAAATTGGATTGGAGACTAAAATAGGAGTTAGAAACTTAGAACATACAAAAATAATATATTTTTGATGGTTTGGATGATAAATAGAAAGGGGGGTCCCACCACAGAATCAGGTGCAGAGCGAAAATAACTAAATTCCTCTCAACTCCCGCTCTCTCTCCTCTCCTTCACAACGACCATTTCAAATCCCACCACAGAACTCAAGAAAAAAGAAAAACAATGATGAGACTCACAAAACCAAAATTTTCATATTGATGGATAATTTTCTTCACAATTCGCATCTCTGTTCTTGAAACTCTCCTCCTTTTTCGTTCTTCCCAGCCTTCCACATTCCCCGACAATGGAGAAGAGCAGCAGCAACCAACCTGATGAGAATCAACACCTCCTACGCAAGACCTCTAGCTTCGCTGACAAGGAGGATGCCCCCAAATCCGGCGTTGATGATGATGCCAATCCCGCGGTACCAGATCACGATCATCATCCTGATGCAGCAGCCGCGCCCACGGACGACGCCGATGTAAAATCTGAAGAAAAATTGGAGGATCGGGAGCTGGAGCTGGAGCAGGATCAAGATCAAGACCATGAGAAGAAGGAGGATGGAAAGGAGGAGGAGGAAAAGAAGGATCAGGAGGAAGAGTCGTCCCAGCAGGATGAACCGGATCTTCATTATGATCTCCACACCATCCTTGAAGATGTCGATCAATTTCTCCGCGATTCTCGAGATCGGGAGGATGATGCTGTGGTGGAGATTCCGAGGTTCATCGACAAATTCTTGGATCTCGTGGATGCGAAGATTGAGCAATATAATAACGATGCAGAATCGAACGCGAAAGAGAGAGAGTGTCGGGTGCCAGAGGACGAATCGTCGTTTCTGGAAGCTGTCGATCGGTTATCGAAGCTCAATAATGCACTCCGCGAAATGAAATTGGAAGAGGAGAAGAAATCGTTGATTAACCGCGTCGGGAGCATTGAACAGAGAGCAATTTCTTATTTGGAGGAGGAGTTCCGATTCTTTCTTGAGGAATCCTCCCGAAGCAGTAGCGACACGGATCCTGCTGCCGAAACAGATCGCAGTGACGCTGAATCCGATCAACTTCATTTTCCAGGTTACTCCGACGAGATCGTGAGGTATTTGAATAAAATCGCCAAGGCAATGATTGCCAGTGGATACGAATCAGAATGTTGCCAGGTTTACATGGTTGCGAGAAGAAATATATTCGAGGAAGCCTTACAGAAGCTAGGGTTCGAGAAACACAGCATCGACGACATCCAGAAGATGAGTTGGGAATCAATGGAGAGGGAGATCGCTACGTGGGTCAAAACCTTCAAGCAATGCGCCACAATTTTGTTCTCTGGCGAACGGAAGCTCGCCGAATCTGTATTTTCAGAGTATCCTGAACTCACCGATAGCCTGTTCAGCAATCTGACTCGCGGCATTGTGATTCAGCTCCTAAATTTCTCGGAAGGAGTTGCGATGACGAAGCGCTCCGCCGAGAAATTGTTCAAGCTTCTTGACATGTACGAAGCTCTCCGCGACATGGTCCCAAAAATGGAGGACTTATTTCCAGAGGAATCCGCCAACGAGCTCAAAACAGAGACCACAACTGCTCGCGCTCGTCTCGGCGAGGCCGCGATTAGTATATTCGGCGATCTCGAAAACTCGATCAAAGCAGACACCGGAAAAACTCCGGTACCGGGCGGTGCCGTCCATCCATTGACTCGATACACCATAAACTACTTGAAATATGCTTGCGAGTACAAGAACACTCTGGAACAGATTTTCAAAGAACATTCGAAGATCGAGCGAGCCGATTCCACCAGCCGGCCACATTTTGAGGGCGAACAAGCCCCAAACTACCAATCAAGCAGCGACAACCAATCGCCATTCGCCGTGGAACTGACGAAGGTGATGGAACTCCTGGACTCAAATCTGGAAGCGAAATCGAAGCTATACAGAGACATAGCCCTGAGTTCGATCTTCATGATGAACAACGGGCGATACATCTTGCAGAAGATCAAAGGATCCGCAGAGATCCACGAACTGGTGGGCGATACGTGGTACCGTAAGAGATCTTCGGATCTGCGTCAGTACCACAAGAATTACCAGCGAGAGACGTGGAGCAGACTGTTGAGTTGCTTAAACCACGAGGGATTGACGGTGCACGGGAAAGTGGTAAAGCCAGTGCTGAAGGAGAGGTTTAAAAGCTTCAACACCATGTTCGATGAGATCCACAGGACGCAGAGCTTGTGGGTGATCAGCGACGAGCAGCTTCAATCGGAGATCAGAGTATCGATATCGGCGGTGATGATTCCGGCCTACAGATCATTCCTAGGCAGGTTTTCACAGTACTTGGATCCGGGGAGACAAACGGAGAAGTACATCAAGTTTCAACCTGAAGACATCGAAACTTACATTGACGATCTATTCGATGGAAACCCAACCATGGCAAGAAGGAGAATATAAGCGCCGAGGCGCTGCAAACGAATTTGAAAAGGCAAGGCTTCATTCTCTTAGACTTTCTTCTTCTTCTTCTTCTTCTTCTTCTTTCTTCTTCTATATATAAGTTTTTTTTTTCCTTAAGTTTTTCAAAAGCTAAGAAAGAAACCATTGAAAAGCCCCCGCTGAGGCTACTTTTGTCATTTCAGCTACACTCTGCAATTCTTCAACTCGCTGAATCGCCGCTGCTCCTTTTTATTATGTTACATTTTCCCACTCTCATTTTTTAAAAACCGAACGATTACTTGTAATTGTCAAATTAACAATGTAATTCTTTGATTCTGCATTGTTTTCTTCTTAGAAATAGCCAAATATAAATTATATTTATAATGCATGTATATATTTCCCGGGTTGAATTCTTTTTCTTTTAAATTAAAATATAGTTTTTTTTTCAGGATTTGAACTTCGAGAGATAACAATATCTGTTTACTGTTGAAGTATATTTATGGGAGTTAAAATATAGTTATAATCTAAAAAAGTTTATCTTTTGTCTTTTATTTAACCTTTGAAGTTTAAAAAATTTGTTTTAGTCTCCAAAAAAAAACCTTAGAACAAGTTTGAAGTTTGATCCAAAAACCTTCTAAAGGAAGGTACATTTATAAACACATTTGTTTTGTATTCTGCAATTAGATAGTTCATATTTGTTTTGTACAAAAATTTATAATGATATATATGAGAATGTTTTGATAACTATGTTTGTTTTGCAGGAATTGTATTTGGAGGCGTCCAAAAATTATATATTGGTTCTACAAAAGTCTTTACGAATATTCATGTAATTTATACATTGCCTTTTATTCTTTTATTAATTTCATAGTTTTTTTTTATCAATTTAGTTTATATTAAATTTTAAATGTTATTTTGTAGAACACATTCATTTATATTAATTTGACATAAATATCTAATATTAACTGGTAATTCCAATTTTAACTTGAATTTTTTTCTCGAAAGAAAATGATATAATTGATGGCATTTTTATTGGATTAAAATTTTATATTATCAAATTAAAATTCTATAAAACAAGTGTCATAATGTGCGACCAAAAAAACTTGTGAATTCAATCACTTGTAAGAGAATATAGTTAACCACGCAAATATTTTAATCAAAGCCCTTTTATAGAAAATATTTTTAAAAATTAAAAAATAATTAAATTAAAGGTATGTCCAACTTGCTAATGATCCCACGGTAAAAACATAACAAATGTTTGTAACATGCATGATCTAACTTGACTGCATAAGCTTGTGAGTTGAGTAGAAGCATTAAAATGGTGGAACATGGTCCAATCTCATTTATCTAGATCTTAGTAGACCTTTAGTTACACATGAATTATTCTTCTCATTGTCAATTGGTATTGAGTTAAATCCCTCAAATATTGATATGATATTATAGTCTAACATTGAAAAGATAAGAAGCCTAAAAAATTTACTTGTGTTGAAAAGACGAGGGACCTAAAAGATTTATAATATACATGATTGTCAATTCACATCGGAAAATGAATCTAACAAATAATTATTTTGGTTAGGATCATAAGACAATCATACTAACCTATTATCAACGCTGCGCCACAATTTTCCGGTTGACTTCATTCAAATTTTAAGCATATTCTCAAATTGAGTTGATTCCATTCAAATTTTTTAACTTGGAGTTGAGTTCCACCCTACCGAACCGACATCTCTTAGTTTAGTTAAAATTTTAACACATTTTAGATGCCTTAGTCAGTGCTCCTCTTAGTTTAGTTAAAATTTTAAATTTTAACACATTTTAGATGCAGTTAAACTATGTTCAAGTTGAGAACTACGTCATAAATATCAATCTATCTTTTATTTTTAATAAAATGTATATTGGCGTTTTTACCATAAAAATCAATTCTCAATTTTAAACAATGAAGTTCCACCTCCTATAATTAAAAAAACACTATTTGTTTAAAATTTACATATTTTTGTACCTAAATCACTTATATTTTGACACTCTTTATATTGCATCCATATATCCATATGTTAACAATATAACGGATGAAAATATTGATACGTAGATGGATATTGACCTACTCTAGAAACGAACTTAGAGAAATGTTGAAATTTAAAAAAAAAAAAATACTTACCTCTTTTTGTAGCTGAGCCTACGAAAGTAAACAGAAAGAATTAGAAACAACAGTAAAAAGAACTGCCCATTATTTATTAACAGCCAAGGAGAGAACATACACATCAATTTGGATATGGATAGCATTCTCAAAGCTTGCTGGTAATGTTGATGTTCCTGACCTTTGATGATCTTGTGGCTGTGTCTTTTGGCACAACAATGGTGAGGACACCATTTTCGACTTGAGCTTTAATTTGGTCCACTTTAACATTTTCAGGCAATTCAATCTCCCTTGAAAATTCCCTCTTCTCTCTCTGTCTTTCGGCTAAATGCCAAATGGTATCTTTCGCAACAGGTTCCTCTTTGCCCCTGCTTCCTTTTATGTGCAGAATGTTTCCCTCATCAACCTGGACCTTTATCTCATCTTTGCTGAAACCTAGAGAATCATGAAATAGCAGCAACCAATTAATCTACCAAATAGCAGCTTACACGGTAAGATCAAAGCTGTGTTTGAAGCGAGTGTGTGTGTGTGGAGAAAGGGCCAGAATGTGGTGGATTCATACAAATTGACTTCAATTTTTCAAACATTTTCTTGTTTGATTCTTTCTTTACTAGTGTTCACCACAAATAAAATTTTAGTTTGTCACTTTCTCTGAAAGAGAATTTTTCTCCACATACTTCCATCAAACACGCAGAGACAAACCACGTACCAACATTTAATCACCTCAAAAGCTGAATGCAAAAATACTATATCAATTTTCAACAAGTTTCATAGATTACGATCGATTGAATTATCCAAAAGAGAAAGCACTGTCTAAAACTCGAACTTGTTACGCTCGATCCTTGATTGTTCACAAATAATCTGAAGTACGAAAAATAAAACGATTCCTCAAATAACCGAACACGAAAGAGTTGCTTAAAATCACTCCGAACAAACAAAACAAGTCTAAAATTAAAGCAAGAGGAAAGAAATTAACAATTCAATCCACAAAACCTAGAGAATTTCTATTATGGAGACATTACAAACAGAAATGACTAAAACCTCAAATTGAAGTGCGTAATCGGCAGTTAAGGCCAAATTTGAAGCGGTACCTGGAACGTTAACCTTGAAGGTGTGAGCATTGGATGTTTCGAGCCAGTCCAAGAGCGCAACGGCGCCGAACGGTTCCCGGAACACGGCAGGGCTCCAGAAGAAGCGCCGAAGAGGATATCCAAAGAAATCGTCCGCCATTGTAGGCAAAGGGATTGAACTTCAACTCCGCAGAAGGCACCGACGCTTGCAGCTGCTGCAAGATTGAATTTATGGAAGGAACTCAACTGAAAGTCTCAGGAAAATTGAAATGATCTTCTGGCACACGATTTCCAGAAACTTCTTTCTTCGTCCCTTGTCATTTTGGCACTGTATTCTAGACTCTTCTACTTTTCCGAAATCTCATCGTCCATCACGTGCCGCCCACGTGCATCATTATTTTTATTTTTTAACCTTAAAATTTTCATTATAAATTATAATATCAAAACTTGTCTAATTTATTCTAAACTATCAATTTGTATCTTATAAGTCGTTGATTTACTTAAAAATACAAAATATCACCTCTAATGTCATGTTTCGAAACCCTAGTCTGTAATTATTGAACTAAAATAATTAAAATGGTGTTTTTTTTGTTAAATTACTAACGAGTTCCTAAACTTTTAGAATTTTCAAACTTATATATATTTTTAAAATTAAGTTACCAATGAGATACAATCCTCAAAGTTGATACCAAATTTGAATTTTTTTTTTTTCAGACTAGAGTATTTGAAAGTTAGTGACTAAGTTGAAATAAGCATATAATTTTATGGTCCAAAATAGAATTTAAATGTTTTTTTTTTCAAAAATCTAGATTAAGTTTTTAACAGTACATATTAATGAACATACAAAATTTGTAGTTTTTTCAAAAGTAATAAAATAAAAGGTTTCAACATGGGAATGTTGTCTGATATAAAAATTTGAATAAGGAGAAAATTGCAATATAAAAATTTAAATGACTGAAGGTAGGAAACTGATAGATTTAGTATATTAATATCTATTTACGATAAAAACGAAACAGACGAAACACAAAAAATGTTAACAATAATAATATTATTAATAGTAATAATTAATAAGTAAAGACACGCAATTCTATTTCTAATCAATCAAGCCAATAAAAACTAAAAGAAACAAAGAGTTTGTTTTTCTCTCTCTTTTTTTAGTACAAGATGTCGAGAGGAAATTCTTATATGTCAATTACCGTTAAGCTATGCTATCTTTGGTTTCTCTCTCTTTTTTTAGTCCAACTACTATGTGAGAATCAAATAATCGAAATAGTAATATGTGTTTAATCAATTAAGATAAGTTATGTTTCAACAAATAAAAATTAATTAAGGTTACTAAAAATAAAAAAATAATTAAACTATATAAGGTCATTCTCATCTCAATCAACCTTAGATAAAAAGAAAATAATAATGTACATGAATTTAATAGTGTGAAGTGAGAATCTAGTATATACTTAAACATATTACAATAAAAAAATATTGATATTTCAAACTCATTATTAATGAGAATTAATTATTTGAAGTTTATAAACAATGGTACATAATAGAATAACGAGAGCTACTAAAAAAACCAAAAAACAAAAGAATAGAATAATGATATTTGATAGCTATTGGTATGGGCTTGACTTTTTAAACCTAATTAGTTGTTACCTACTCGTTTTTAAATTTATCTTTTAACTTATCAAATCAAATTAATTTGAGAATATTAAATGATATTTTTTACATACAAATAAAACAGATTAGATTAAAGGTAAACGTGTCACATCTAAAAATGAAAGAGTCAAGTTCATTTCAAGCATCATTTGTTCATGTGAACATTGAGATGGACGGTAACAAACAAAATGTTTGATTCTATTTCCTATAAATTCAATAGAGTAGTTTCGCTCATTTCCTCGCTAAAATGACTTTGTTTATTGCTTTATAAAAAAAAATATAAACTTCTACTTTTAGCTTTTACAAAGAAATTTGCCAACATATATCATTTTCCTAAATTTTCTTCATCTACTTTCTCTTATTAATTTTTGTTTTGGCCATAAATTTCATAAGTAGAATGCAACCGTAAGTAATTATTTAAGTCTCGTCTCAACTCTTTCTTTGAATTCTTTAAATTGGAGTGCTTTCATCTAACCTCCTTCTTCTGATGTATATTTTTTACATGGTGTTCCTATCTTTCAAAAACAATTAGAAAAAAATTGTTTCAACTCTCTTGAAAAAGTTAGATAAAAGAATGTGAAAAACAATTTTGCCTAGGACGACACATCTCAAAATGGAGCATTTTTTTATTACTTTTTTTTAATACTTAATTTTAGGAACAAGACGGAAAATATAATCCCTACTTCGACCTCAATCCTACTCTACTTTCAGGTTGAAGGTTCAAATTTCTATAGTCTATACCCACGTTAATGTACTAAAAAAGTCTTACTCCATCTTGTTCCCCTAAAAATAAGTTATAGTGAATTGATGATAACTGCATTTTAATGAAATAAAAAAATTTAATTTTCATTGGGACTTTCTCACTACTATTTTCTCTTACACGTTCTTGCTACTAGTTAACAACACATGTGTTGCACTTATTTTTTCTAACGTGTTTAAATAATGTATAACGGTAAGGTTTTTAACCTTTTTAATAAATGTATTAAAATAAAAAGTAAATATAATATTTAGGTTGTATTAATAATTAATTTTGAAATAAAATATACCGATTAATTGTCAAATTTATCTTTTTAAAAAAATAGAAATATAATTATAGTCTAATAAGTAAAAAATACACTTTTGATCTCAAAGGTTTGAGTTAGGTATGCTTATATTGTAATTTCAAACGATTAATGTCATTATAAATATTTAATTAAAATTAATTTCGTAAATTATTAAAATTTATTGACTAGAATGTGTTGTTCGGATTGCTAAGGTGTGCAAACAAATGAGTGATCATGATGATGACAATTATCTTCATTGCTATGAAGTTTTTTTTTTTTCTGAAACCAAAAAGTGAAGCTGTGAGGGTTATGTTTAAAACGGTAAAGATTTACTCTTTTACCAAGTAAACCTACCTGTTAGAACTCTATTGTAACAGGGTGAGAGGCCTTAAATACTATTTCTTAAATCAATAATTGCCATAAAGTTATTTCCTTTTTTTCTCTCTCTCAAATCATTTTTAAAAGATAGAGCCATCTATCCTATTTTTCCAGAATGGCACCAAAAGTTAGGTTTTTCTTTGCTTAATACAATTATTTTCTCCAAAAAGATCTATAAATTTATTGTTTTCTCCCAGCTTTAAAGTTTGACTTCATCACTCTACACGTTGTATGACAAGTGACAATGTCACCAATATGTAATAAAATATGAATTTCAAAAAAAAAATGTATGACAATTGTTGCCTTGTTTAGGATGCTTGTTATTTTATGTCAACGGTTTTAAAATCATACCTAATAAAATAAAAATTAATAAATTAATTAGCAAAAATACTCAAGGAGCATTGATTTGATTTGCCCCTAAAATTATAATAAAAAACTTCAAATGAAGATGAACTTGGAGAATTGGGGAGCATTATAGAAAGAAAGTGTTAGCCATGTTTACAAAATCTTAGGAACCAGCTCATCATTTGCTTTTCATTTTTCAATGATCTTATTTTGGATGTTAGTTTTATTATTATTATTTTATTTCAAAATACCTAAATAATTTTTTTTCTTCACGTGAACTTAATTCAACTGGTTAAAGTACATCATCCCCATTAAAAATCATGATTTCAAATCTCTACTCTACATGTTGTATTAAAAAAATTAATACTTCTCTCTGCTCCACAATTTTTAATGTTGTCCTCCAAAAAGGCACACAGTCAAAACTTGTAGGTTTTGATTGGTTACAAAATGATTGAAAATGAAAAAATAACAGAGAGGAACTCAACCAAAATTATGAAAAGGAATATAATCAAATTATAACTGCACAGAACCATCACAAAATGACAATATAAGAATACTTAGAAGATCAATTATGCAACATGAAAAATAAAAGATTTTATTTTTATTTTGAGTATAAACGAGAGAGGTTGAGAATACAAATTCATGATCTTTTGATCAAGAACATGTGTCAATTTTATGTCAATTAAGGCTAATTTCTAAGTTTATGTTTAGTATGAATTTTTATTGTAGACCTAAGCTTTAATTTTAGAATATTAGACACATTAATAAAACTAAAAGTAAAATAATAATTCCCAAACAATGAACGAGTCTTTGAAATACAACCCAACACGGTTTTAAATTACATACCGAAAGAGAATAATAATAATCAGACAATCAAATCAAAGTGAACTTTATAAATAAACCTGTAAAAATCTGATGAAAAACTCACAATTATAACAACAGAGAGACACAAAACCAAAGAATCAACAAACAAATTTATGTTCAATTAGTGCTATAGTCTTGTCAGCAGCTCTCCTTTGAAATCTTCAGCAGAGTAAACTTGCTATACTGAAGGTGGAAGCATGATTGAATCAGCCGAGTAAAATTGCTGGGAAACAGAACTGTCCACGTCATAAAACTTATCGATGCCCGTCTCTTGTTCTTTCAGTAAGATCGAGTGATATATTTCGTCGATTCGACTCGTCACCTTCGCCATCGAGGGGCGGCTGTCGGGGTGTGGAGCTGTACACAGCATGGCAAGATGCAGAAGCTGAACCATTTCATCCAAGCCATTCTTGTGTCCTAACAGTTTCTCATCAAACACTTCAGCTGTCTTCTTCTCTTCGACCTTCGAGTGCACCCATCGCGGGAGGTCTACTCCATCATCATTGAACATCGGCGAGTTTGGAGCCTTCCCTGTTATAAGCTCTAGAATTACCATGCCGAAGCTGTAAACGTCTGCTTTCAGGGATACTTTTTGAGGATCGGTGACTTCAGGGGCCCGGTAGGCTGCAACATGGTTCGGAGTGGATGTGGGGCTTGCAATCTGAGTGAGGCCAAAGTCAGAGACACAAGCTATGTGGGATTGGTTGAGGAGAATGTTTGAGGACTTTATATTGCCATGGGAGGTCGGAGGTCGTCGAGAATGAAGATACGTAATCCCCCGAGCGGCTGCGCGCGCAATGCCAGCCCTTGCTTCCCATTTCAATGGAGCCTTACCAGCATCTCTGCTGCCTGCACCCACAAGACAGCCATAGACATTATGCTCTAACTTAACCAGAGGCACGGCAAAATACTAATGGTTGAGCACATGTGATTGTTTCAAACAAGTTTCTTAACCATAGGCACAAAGTTGCAATAGAAAGAATGCCATCAAAAGATAACAGGAAAAATACAAAAATCTCCTAAGACTAACCTTATGAAATTGGTTGCAATTCAATCTCAGCCATTCTAATTCCATTCCATTAGTTGCAATTGAAATGTGCAAACTACTCCTAAACTAGAAAGGTTGCTGTAATCAAACTCTAAATCCTAAATCACAAAATGCTCCAATTTAATTGTTGATTGTACTCATGAACATTGCTCAAATTAAAAGCTTGAGTTTTGCAATTTCACTAAGGTAACTAAAAGGAAGCAGCTCACCATGTAAAAGTACAGACAAGCTTCCCATGGGGACATAATCACATATCAGAAGCTTCTCGTCTCTGCCATAATAGTAAGCGTTAATGGGGACCAAGTTCTGATGATTCATCATCCCCAAGCTTTCAATCTTCTCCCTGAATTCCTCCTCTGGAACTCTCACATCTCTCAACCTCTTAACCACCACAGCCATCCCCACATCCAGAGCTACCTTGTAAGTTGCCCCAAAAGTCCCCTTCCCCAACACCTCTGCAGATGCTTTCAACAGTTCCTCCAAATCAAACACACTCTTTCCTTTCCCACAGAACACCAGATTCCTCTCATTCCCACTTCCACCGTAACCGGTACCTGGGTTCTCAACCTCCGAGGACATTCTCCTGGAGGTCGTCGTCGTAGCATCCATTGAACCAGTTGTTCTCTTCGTCTTCCGGCATAAAAAGAACAAAATGAGAATGAGGATTAGGAATGCAATCAACGCTCCTATAACGATACCGGCGATTGCTCCGCCGGATAATTTCTTGTCCTCGCCGTCGCAAGGGTGCAGCGGCTTCCCGCAAAGCGAGTTGCCGTCGAAGGCACTGGCTGGCTGATCGGAAAACTGCGAAGGGATGGAGCCGTTCAGATGGTTGAAAGAAACATTGAGAGTCTTAAGCGAGGGAACGGTGAAATCAGGAATAAATCCAGTGAGTTGATTGCCTTCCAAATTCAGGACCTCTAATTTCGTGAGATTACTAAACCTAGACGAAATTGGACCGGCGAACTTGTTATGAGCCAAATTCACGCGAACCAGACTCTGGATACTGAACAGAACCTGAGGAATCTCGCCGGAAAATGAGTTCCGTTGCAAGTAGAGGCTGCGGAGGGAGCGGAGGTTCGCAAAATCAGACGGAAGAGAACCAGAAAGCATATTAGAGCGGAGAGATAGGGTTTGAAGTTGAGTCAGGTTTCCAAGCCCTAGCGGAAGTTCCCCGACGAGTCCGACGCCGGGAAGCCGCAGCTCGGTGACCCTCCCGCCGCCGCACTTGACGCCAAGCCACGAGCAGGGAGTCTCATCGGAGAGGTTCCAGTGGCGAGTCCGACTACTAGCGCCCATCGCCTTCTGGAGCGCCACGAGCGCCGCCGTGTCCGATGAAAGATCCGCCTCTCCTGCAGGAAAGAACACGGAAATGACAAACACCGCCGACAAAAAACACAGCCGGAGCGGGCTCCGGCGCGCCATTTACGGCGATGAAGAAGAAAACAGAGCTTATCCCGAATATCGAATCGAAAATTGAAAGCGAGGGAAGAGGACCAAGTAAAATCCAGAGAGTCAATCAATAGGGCAAATCAGAGAGAAGATGGCTCACCATTGTACACAAACGTGTTGAAGTTGAAGGGTACAACAACATTGGTTGACTTTGTAAAAATGGAAAACCATATCAGACTAGGAGATGATGAAGAAAGATTCTTAGACATTTATGGGAAGCTGACGGATTTCTTCCAAAAGTGGGCCTCCGCCATGAACGCCATTGCCGTCTAATATGTAACGTAACCTACGTTTAACCCAAGGCAAATGATTAATGTGCCCATATCACGAAAATATTAGTTTTTTCTTTCTTCTTTTGTTTTTTTTTAGTTGGAGGGTTAAATCTGAATTATGATTTGAAGTTGGCAAAATATAGAGATTACTTAAAAAATAATAAAAGATACCCATGCAAATATATTAATATCAATAAAAATACACACATATAATATATATTTTGAATTCCACGTATAATTGTAACTATAAAATTAATATTATATAATTTACGTCTATATTTACTTAATTTTTTTTTATAAAATCATAAATAGGTAGCCACCATGGTTTCAACCAATCTCTCCAAAACTTTTATTATTTATCTGGGTCCTTATTTATTATTATTATTATTTTCTTTTTTAAAGAAATTTACTTTAGTTCTTATTGGCTCACTAAATCAATCTGTCATGATTCAATTGATTGTTAATATTATGTTGGAGGCTCCTATTTATGAAAATATTGACGAAGGATGAATATAAATAAATAAATATGTATATATATTTTTTATTCTATCGAGTACTGCTAAATAGGTTTTAAGTTAAAAAAAAGTAGCTTTATACATTTTGGTCTTTTGTATTTCTTTTGTGATTGATTTAGTTTCTATATACTCTACAAAGGGCATTAAAAATCCTACTATAATTAGTCAAAATGTTTTGAACAACTTTTAACTTCATGACATAAACATTCATGGAAAATATTATTGTCTATAATTTTAGAATATTTGTGTGAATAGAAAATCGGTATAAATAGAATTAAATTAGTTGGATCTATTTAAGAGCCATAATTGAGCCTAAAACAAGAAAGTGAGCTTTTTTTTTCCCTCTAGTTACTTTTTTCTAGCGAAGTTAACGTAGGAAGTATTAGAGTTGGTACTTTTACGACTATCATGCCTTAATTGTGTTTCTTATTTTTTATTTCTATTTTATGTTTTTTAATGGTATTTTAATAAATGAAAATAGAACTATGTTTGGTAAATATTTCTTATTTCTGGTACGTTTTTTAATTGGAAAACTATTTATTGTTTTCAATTTTATAAAATTTTAAAATAAAAAAAAATAATTTTTTTATATGTTAGGTTTATTTTTTAATATTTATTATGCATTTTATAAGTTAAAAATGATAAAATAATGCTTCCATTCATACTTTGGAAAGAAACGAAAACAAAAACAAAATAAAAAAATAATTGTGTTGTTCCAAACTTTCTTTACAATTTTGTAAAATTTTCTTAGATAAACGAAAAATATAAAAAGAAAAAAATTATAAATACTTATGTTTTTTAAAATTTAGAAACGATGAACAAGAAACAAAAAATAAGGTAACTTCCTATTCCTTGTATCTTGTCTCTTATTTTTTAATTAATAAAAAAATCATTGCAGTTGGTAACTAGTTTTTCATTTTTTTATTGAAGAAATAATGAAAATTTTAAAGTAAATTTAGTCATTTATACGATATTCAACGAGAGTTCAAACACAGGATCTTCTACACTAATACCATCTTAAACATGTCAAATCACCATGAACCGAAAAGCTTTAACCTGGACAAATTTAATCATTTATAATTATAGGATATCTAATATTTCTTATTTTTTATTTTATTAAAAAACTTAAATATTTTACTACTATTTATGTTTCTTGTTTTTTTTTTTTATAAACATTTTCGAAATTGTATACAATTTTGGAAACAACAAAAAGAAAGTTCTTTGTTTTTTTTATATATGTTTTCAATTTGTTCCAAAATATAAATAAAAATATTGTTGTATTATTCTTGAACCATAAGTATTAGAGTCATGCCATTCTATTTTTTCTTTGGTAACTAATATTGGAGAATATCCTTGCTTCCTCAACATATATTTAGACAACTTTAGGTTTAGAGATTTCAATGACTACAACAAAAATTATGGTTGGAATAAGATTTAAGAATACTATTATTATTATTATTATTATATTTTGCATTGCATAAGCATAACTAATTGAACCCAAGTTGCCGGCATTGCCCATATATTTTATCTACCTAATTATAGGATATTTACTAAACTTTTCTTTCGAGGGTAGGAAATTTTACCAACCTCAATTGATATTTACTTGTTAATTGGTAAAAGCTTAACATAGTCCTTTCAAAAATTAGGTGAATTAGTAGGTTTTTGGGATTGCTTTAGGGAAGTTGAAATGGGTGGAATTTTACTTATTTATATATTTTTACGTAATTTCCTCCATACTATTAATATATTATTCAATTGCATCTACCAATTAAAACATGTATTACCGATTTGATAGATGTCTACTCAAAGATTAGTCTATCAGTAAAGACATCTCTATTAATGATATAGTTTATCACACACATAGATATCTACGTCGGCTATACCATATTAAGTTTTCCTCCCAGCAGCATAAGATAAAAGTGTTGTATTCTATCATTTATATAATCTATAACTTATGTTTATCAATGATATAGTCATTGATAGGCCGATAAACGTTTGAAGGCTATTTTAGTATTTTTCATGAGCGAATTTGGCTTGTAATTTTTTTGTTGTTGCTATATTTGCAAATTTAAAATGCTGTTGCTATATTTGCAATTAGTCAAACTTGTTTTGTTATATATGCTAGCACCCATTTCAAATAAAGTATTTTTAACAAAAAGTGCTTAATAACAAATCATTTTGAGGTTTGATTATACACCATTAAAAGTACTTTGAGATCAAGTACTTGGGTAGCACTTGAGCGAAAAACACTGTATAAGTGTTTTTTTTTTTTCACATAGTACTTTTAAGGTATTTTAAACTTTTCCAAAAATACTTTTATGTTACTCTTAGATACGCGTATATAAAATTTCATATGAAAAATATTTATAATCATGCTAAAATCACTTCTAAACATAGTCTAAGAGAGGAAGAAGCATCATACATCACAAAAAACTTAAAATAAACTAAAAAACACATGATCATTAACCGAACGTCATCTACAACTACACTACCTCCCCAATTTTTTCCCAATCAAAATGCCTTCAAAGTGGAGGAAGAATAATAAAATGGGCTGGGATATTGGTTAGCAAGGCCCAATAAGAAATTATCGTGTAGGCCCAATAAAACAGAATAAAGCCCAACACAAGAATTTCCGCCACCGGTTGGGTCCGACACTATAAAAGCCCTAAGGAGCGCAATTGCGGAGTCCCTTCCCACCCCGCGCTGCTACGGCGAGATTTCCTCCATCGCTGCGCTGTCTTTCCCTTTTCCCCCTTCGACTTCAGATAAAATTAACTTCAGGTTAGGGCTTATTTCTTCCCGCTCTCCACACTTTCCACTACTTAATTTGATTTCGCATCCCTATCTTCTGTTTCTGATTGTTGTTTGCTCTCTTGGGTTTTTCGTTTTTGGGATGCTCAATCAAAATTTTTGAATCCAGGTATTTCCAAGGATGTTTGTTTGTATTTGGGGTAAAGTTGCTTGGTCGATAGGATTGAACGAACTTTAGCAATTGACTTCTATTAGTACCTTTTTCTTTAATCATAACATGTGCTGGTGGTGGGGGTGGTGGCGGTGGTGGCGGTGGTGGTGGTGGGCATTTCTATTTCCAAGCTTTCGCCCCTTACTACCTTTCTTTGTTTACTGTAATGGATATTGTTTGAGTAATTTATCGGGTCATTTTGTTCATACTCGTGTTAAATTGCAGTTGTCTTCTTAGATGGGCTTGTGAGGGAATTGGCATCTTTGTTTTACTTCTTATTTATTAGTTTTAGTTGAGGATTTAGTCCCTTTATGGTTGGCATTTTACGACATCTTTTTTTTTTTTGTTGGGTTCGGTTGGTTTTATTTGATCTCAAGATAATTGTGGTTTGCGGATTGTTTGTTTGTTTGTTCTCATTGATTTGTTCCGTCCCTTTTTAATGTATGTAGTCAATCATGAATCTTTTGGTTTCAATTATAATCCTACAAATAATAATGGGTTTCTGTTCTATTTCAAAATTTTAAGGTTTATAACCATTTCGACTTAAATCCTATGTAGGAAAGGATTTGGTACAAAAAATGGATAGGTTTGAGGTCTTCAAACTTTGATCACTATTGGAAGGCCTAGATGTAGTAAATATGAAGAGACTTGTTATCTTTTCAATTAAATGTCAGATTGAGGAAATAAGTGAGGTGTTTCTGACCTCCAACTTGATAATGGCATGATTTTATTTTGTTCTAACAGAGAGGAATGTTTTTCACACACTCAGATTATTTGAAGCATCCTTTAGTCTTAAGATTATTATGGATAAAAGCTATATCACCAATATCGACTGAACACATTTTCTTCTTCTTCTTTTTTTTTTAATTTTTTTTTATGAATGTATGGTATTTTCAAAATCAACTAAGATATCTGAAATATTAGCTGGATGGATTTATCAAGTACTCTGCATAAGTTTGGTGGGTTCTTCTAGCCAAGAGCATTTCTTGCAACTTCTGGTTCTGGTTCTGGATTTAGGCTCCGATTCCAAGGATGATAAAAGCCTTTCTATCCAAAGGAGAAGACTTATTTATTCGAGCTATGCTCTATGATGTTGTTAGTTATTATCTCTCTATTAATGGATGGATGTTCTAAAGAATAGATGACTATCCTATAATTGGGAGATTCTCCACTTTGGTGTTTGAACTGTGATGCATTTCAATATGATGCCTTATTTTAGGCTTTGGCTAATGGCTATGAAGTTTTAGGCTTTGGCTAATGGCTATGAAGGATTTTTGTAGTATTACTCTTTTCTTGATTGCTCATCTCTCTTTTTAGTTTGAATGGTTTCTCGTGTCAGTGTTTTCTCAATGTCATTGGCGTTGTTATTCTTTTTGCATCTTGTTGGGAAACCTTTCTTACTATTACATTCTCTCAATGAAAGTCTTTTGTTTTATTATTATAAAAGAAGTATCGGGTTTTTACATGAGAAATGGCCAATAATTGTGGCTCAACCTTTTACGCAACAAATTTTTACATGACCATTTTGTTGATGGATGGCTTTAATTTGCAAGAGTTGCAAAATGACTATGGAGATATCATCCCGTACTTTGGCCTGTTCCATTGTCAGTAAATATAAAGGGGACCCCTTTGGTTGGAGATCCTTCAACTTTGAAATCGCTGTAAGAGTTGTGGAATTTTATTTCTTCCATATTTGAAAATCTTTGGAAGCTAAAATCTGATTTTGTACAAATCTGACAAGGGATTGAAGTAGATTCTAGGAATCAGGTAGGTCTGTAATCATATTCCTGAGGAAATTACTCAACCCCTTTTTTGAAACTTCATTCGTTTCTTTCAATCCAAGGTATCTACTATCTACATAGAACACCCTATTAACAGGAATGGCCAATTAATCAACCAACAACTCAACCAACCATTAACTACTATTGTAGCTATTTAACCAAGATTGAAATACTATAAAACTAATCAGCATCTGTTAAACAGTAGTATGCTAGGAAAAATACAATAATAGCTCTATAATGTTACTTAGTGCTTTCTCTATTTATCCTTGAGTTCAAGATGCAGATAAAACCTCTAAAAGTGAAAAAGGGCCATAGAATGATAATGAAGTAGCTTCATCTTGTAACCACTAACTAAAAGTTGTTCTCAACCACATCATAGCGCCACCGTAACACCTAAGGATTCTCCAAATGACTGCAAATGTAAAATATTTTTTTTTTGAGAAAAGTAAAATGCGTTCTTGTTATATGAATTATATGTTTTTTTTATTTAATAAGTATAAACACAAAGTTTATAACCCTTAAAAAACTCACTCTGTCGCCCAAATTGATGTAAGAATTTTAGTAGGACAAGTTTACAAATAGTCAAGATGTAGAAATCTATCAAACTGTTCAAATCTTTTATCTAGCTGATCCTCTTAGAACAAGTTTTGGATTTTATTTAATTGGAAGAATTGTGGGTAATTGATCTAACATTTGTCTATTCATCCTCAACATAAAGGTTACCAAGTTTAGATAAATTTATTCTGTTCCATTTATCCTTCCCTCTTGAAAGTTACTCTTGTAAAAAACCGTTAGAGCTAAAAAAATTCCTTGTGCCTTCTATGACTGCCGACTGTGGGAGGATGCCTCATTCTTCCTGCTAGCTGGCACGTCTTAAAATACTTTTATGCATCAGTCCAATGTCACTTGTGGGAACAAGACAGGATTTCTGGTAGGCGTCTTTCATTTTTAGTTTTCTTTAGATTTGTTTTGTTGTATGCAGACCACGTACAGTTTTCCTATGCCATCAGATTAGAGTGATTGTTATTTGTATTCTTTTTACCAGCAACTATATTTCAGGCTTGCTGTTAAAGAGAGAGGAAATTTTTTGTGTTATTTTTAATTTCTGAATTTATGATGTAGTTGTATATTCTTGTCCTTGCAGGTCGATGTCTAGTTGATGACCTATAAATGGAGATAAAGACTTGCGGGAAACCAATTGATTCTTTGCTGGAGAAGGTTCTTTGTATGAATATTCTGTCTTCTGATTACTTTAAGGAGCTTTATCGTTTGAAAACATACCATGAAGTGGTGGATGAAATTTATAATCAAGTTGATCATGTGGAGCCATGGATGACTGGAAACTGCCGTGGTCCTTCAACAGCATTCTGCCTTCTGTACAAGTTTTTTACCATGAAACTTACTGTAAAGCAGATGCATGGGCTGTTAAAGCATGAGGATTCGCCTTACATCAGAGCGGTAGGTAGAATCCTCTTGACCTTTAATTATCATATTATTTTTAATATAAAATTGATGTCATATATTGTTTTGTTGGTACCATTTATGTTATGTTACCATTATTTTTTGTTTATATTCCTTTTGTGGATTCTATATTGCTTAATCATTTTTTGTAAATATATAATTGACATTGATACTGAAAGCTTGCAATGTATCTATTTTAAAACAACTAATATTGAATGCACACTTGCAAGCTTTACCGTAATCTGAGAAAAAATTAGTATATTATATGTAGTTAGGGTGATAATGTACAAGCTGGATTAAATTAAATGTTGTAAGTGGTTTCTAATGGTAATTTAGCTACTGTCACTGTAATCAAGGAAGCAAGTGGTAGAGTTTGAAGTGTTTTCTTGGAGGTTTCTGTTTCCTACATCATGAAATTTTCTTGTGGGCACTTTGAACACAATCAAGTTCTTTATTCTTTCAATGTATTTAAATTAAAATGCATTTTAGCTAGATATTTGTTAGTAGTAGTAAGTGAGCCATGAATCTTGGAAAAATCTGCATTTCCATTTGTTTTTTTATTTTAAAGTTAAAAAATTATGATGCTTCTCCCTGATTAGTATAGTTGGTTAAAAAGTTGATACCTATATTTCTAAATTTGTAGTTATTCCTCGACCATGTGATGTTTAATAATGAGCACCTTATTTTTGTTGGAATTTTGTCATTGTTACCTAGAATGGACTGCTATCTAAACTTGAATGCAGTTTGAAAATCGATTGGAGACTAGCTACGTACATAAATGTACTCAAGTTGCTCTCCGCCAACCTTTATTCCATCTCTTAAATTTCTGGCCTTTATGACCTGATGTTTCCGCTGTACAACAATCAAACTGGGATTGGATATAAACATTACTCTTTATCTCTCTCCCCAAATACAAGGGAAAAGGAGTCACTTGGTGGGTGGAAAATTTTCTGCACCATCAGCCATTCCTTAATTCCCTGCTAAGAAGAAAGAAAAAAAAAATCCCTGCTAAGAAGATTACTAGAGAAGGTCTCCAATTAGCATTACAAAACAAAAAAGAAAAAAACAGAAAAATTACAGAAAGTCCCTAGCCAAAAAGCTTGATCACGATGTATGAAATAAATGAAGTAAAAAAATATCATGATGTTTTCTACATTTTTCTTAATTTTTTTTAGGTTAAAGTGTCGTTAACTTTATGTTATATATAGATATTTAGAGAAAGAGTTTAGCTGATTGTGAAGTAAAATAGTTGAGTGTTGAGTATAACGCGATGGATCTAATTAAACAAATATGTTGCCTAATTAGCAAAGTATTCTCAATAAATTTATGAACGAATGAAAAATGATTATCCAAAAAACTGCATCTAACATGAAATCTGAACTGCTTATTAATATCCGGGTGATATTAGTGTGTATGTAATATTGGACTAGTAATTGTGGTTAATCCTCAAATTCGTGCAAATGATTACGAATCATTTTTTTTTAGAGGTTGAAGGGTGTGTTTGGGAGTGATGGTAGAATGACTGAATGAGTGATTTAGATTTAAGTATAATTGATTTTTCTAAATCACCATCCAAGTGATACCTTATTTTAAATTTCCCTAAAATCAATTTTTTAATTTGTCATCATTTTCAAAATGATCCAAAATCACTCCCAAACACATTCCAAATCACTAATGAATATCCTTGATAGCTATTGGTTATCTTGAAGTTTAATTGTGAAATGTCTTATGCAATGAGTTAGTTTGTTTGACTAGTTTTTAATTTTCACCGTATGAACAATTAAAACTTTTACGATAAAAAAAGTTATTCTTTTGGGCTTGCAGTCTTTCTGCACTTAGGTTTCCCATTCTCATTCAACTACACAATTTAAGCAACAATTAGGAACACAGGTCCTCTCTCTCTTTCTCTCTATAAAATTATTACTGCTCGGTTTTGATATTTGTGCTACTATTTGGAATGAAATTTATGAATCGATTTTATTGGGAATGTCGGTGAGCTCCGCAACTACTAGTAGGGCGGCTATTATGATTAGAAACTTAGTGGTTTTTTTACCATGCTTTAGTAATGATTTTCAAATCGACCCAAAAAATTCATTGGTATCAGAAATTCTTTTTGAGATCTTCTGTGCACATTTAATATCTTTTTGGCTCTTTATGCTAGCTCTTGCAGATTATTGTATTTCTTTAGTTTGTAAAGCCTTGTCTGATACATGCATACGCTTGGTAACATTCTTGCCTTGCTCACCAGATGTTATGAACAAAGGATGAGCCTTGTCACTTTGGGTTGCTGATCCCTTTCTCACTATAAATTAATAGTGCCTTTGCTTTGCTTTGCAGTTATCTAAGGTTTGAGGTGACCTTTTTTTTTTCTTAAACATACTGAGATTATTTCAATCCCCTGGGTCTATTTTTCTGTAAATTGATATTTGGTGAGTCTGTCTACATCATTTTCATATGCCTATTGCATCTGCTTCTATCTTACTACTTCATTAATGGCAGAATACTATAAAGAAAAAAAATAATGTGATTATGCATATTCTTTGCATGCATCTTTTTCTTAAAAAATTTTCTTTCTTACTATTTTTGTAATGATGCCCTTCCGTTCCAAGATTAAGAAAGTTATGGGCAAGCTGTATTATATAGATTTGATTATGCTATCATCTAATATTGTTTTTTCAATTTTTCCAGATTGGATTCCTCTACTTGCGTTATGTTGCAGATCCGAAGACTCTCTGGAATTGGTTTGAGCCTTATGTTAAAGATGAGGAGGTATGTGATGCTTAGAGGTGCTTGATTCTTTTATCATGTGGACTGTTGCTAAAGCATAACTATTATGTTAGCATGCATGTGTTTTCTGTACTTTGTGTCATTGTTTTTGTCTGCCTTCAGTGAAATTACACTGATAATCGAGTAAGCACAGACCTATCTTGAATATTACTGGTTCATAAACATGTTTGACGTGGACTCACACAGGACATGGTGATCTGTATTTTTTTTGTTCATTATGTTTGAGATCATTAAAATGTGTAGAAGTAAAAGATATAGGTGATATTAATCCCTACCATTTGCTAGATGCAACACCGACATCCATTGATTAGAAGAGCTTCCTCCTTTATATTGATCCCCCCTCCCTTTTTTCTCTTTGTACTTGTTAGAGAGAGAGAGAGAAGAGTAGAGCGATTTTTTTGAGGATAGAGATGACGGGATTTGAAAATTTTATATTTTTTCGTCTCCTTTCAGGCTTTTCCCAATGGAAACCCCTTTTTTGTTAATAATATTTTATTATTCATTCTAATAGTTTGGGGGTTTTCCTTGTTGTAACCTTGTTAGACCCTCAGTTACTAAGACTTATTCTAGAAGGGGCAATAGGGGAATTGTACTTGGGGGCAAGGAATAATTAGAGGGAAAGATTGTAACGGTCTGGAGAGAGAAGGTGGGCTTGGGCCGTAAGGAGAGGAGTGTGGGGGATTGGGATAGATATATTCCCCTAGTTTGTAGGAGGGAAGCAGTCTTGATTTCAGTGTAAGGACGGTTGTAGGGAGAGTTACCCACCCTCTCGAATTGGTGGGGTACCTTTGTATCGCCTACAGGCTCAATTCAGTCAATTCCAAGAAGAATTGTGAGGAGTTACCTCACAAACCTCCATTGCCAGATGTTCTTCAAGGGGTTTCTGGTCCGTCCATCTGTTGTTTTGTAGTCTCTTTTCCCCCATCCCAAGAAAATAATATATGAGAAAAGACTGCTTCAATACAAATTCATGATAATTTTGCATGTTTTATGGTTAATAAGGACGTAAAGCTATAAAAAAGCAGAAAAGTAACTAACAGACTAAATGTGATTTTCAGGAATTTTCACCAGGATCCCATGGACGAATGACTACAATGGGTGTATATGTGCGTGATTTGCTCCTTGGACAGGTTAAATACCAACAACTCCCCTACAAATATTATGTTTCTTGGTTACATCATTGCTCTTTCTTTGTAACTTTGATTCATAGACATGCTAAATTGTGTGCATGTACAGTTGGTATGTGAATCTTGTGACAACCTGAGGTTGACATTTCTGTAGTGTTAACTGGGATGAAAGCGTTGACTTGTTTGAGCATTCTTTGTGAACTGATATCTATCTTGAAGCTCTCTCACTTCAGATTTGTTAGGTTGGAAGATAGTGTTAAGAACTATATGTATGTGTAGTGTAATGAAATTGAAGTCTCACTAATAGATGAACGTTCAAGGAGGTGCAAAAGAGTTAGGGAAGAAAGAACAACTACGGCATAACATTAGCCCCATCCCCTTGACATATTTGGAAATTCCTTTTCTTCACTAAACATCTTATATTTGGTCTGTTTGTCAAGGTGATCGAAGGCCACGTTCTCTGTTTTTGAAGGTGCTTCTAAGCTCTATAGACTTGCACTTGCAAGATGAAGTGACTTTGCAGTGTGTTCTGGTGTCATGTCCACTTCAGTGTTGTCTTAATTTTTTCTGTCTTTCTTAATGCTTCCAATGTTTTCTTACTCCTGTTTCCTTGTACAAGTCTTTTCTTTTAGTTGTATTTCCCACTTGTCATAATGGTCTGCTTGTTTTTTTCCCTTTTCTTTTGTTTTCGTCCTTATATGCTTGAAGGTATTCTAGGTGTTCTATTAAAAATAGTGTTCTTAGTTTCTTTTTTTATTGATTAAATTAGTAGGTATACTTCCTCAAATTTGCTAATTGCTTTGCACCTTGTGGCTAGACTACAGAGGGCCTTTCACCTTAAAAAAGTACTGGTTGTGTTGGATTTTACCTTTCAAAAGGGATACCTTTTAGGGTTTCCCCTTCATATACTTTCATAATAGCGAAATGAAAAAGAAGTGTTCGTTTCATATTCCAACAATTCATTTTTCTAATCATATTTCAGAGTCCAAATTATGAATGAAATTTTTTTTGGAATGTTCTCTAAAGTCAATTTTATTTTATTGTTTGGATGCAATATCTTCTGTGATAGTATATGGTGATAGGGATATGTCTTAAAGAAAAAAGAGATGAATGAAGTAATATGAATAAAATGAAACATGAGAACCAGGTTTTGCTTTCATCGCATTGTTGGTATGAGCAAACTGAAATGTTTTCTGTTTTCAATGTCTAATCGAGTTGAAAGCTAATATAAATCTTGATTTCTGTATATGGGTTTGCATTTGGCAAATAGAACGGAATCAACATTGGATCTCTTATTTTATTTCTCCTTTCAGCTTTTAACTGGCAATCATTAAGTTTTGAATGTTCTCTGGTGGTATTCAAGTGTATTTTGTTTGTTTGTTTGTTTTTTCTGCACTTTCTGTCATTGTAGTTGTAAGATAACAACATTTTGTTTGGCTATTGCAGTACTACTTCGATACCCTTTTCCCTCGTATTCCAGTTCCTGTTTTACGGCAAGTTGTTGCTAATCTCGAGAAGTTGAAGCTTCCCAGCAAACATTCAGGTGTGACAGGGGAAACACATCGAATTGGGTCTGAAGACACCGCACGGCGGCCACCTTCTGTAAAAGCTTCACTTTCAGTTTCATTTGGACAACGAGCTCCACATCGTGCCTCAACTAGGGACTCATCCCCGGTTCGTCGTACACTACCACCATCTGCTAATGACAAAGATAATGGCGATGATGTACGAAGATCTCCTAGCAGTCGCCGTAGTCAAAGTCGCGAACATCCAGATAATGGAGAGAGGAGCAGGGATAGAGATTACGACAGGGAGAGGAGCAGGGATCGAGATCACGATAGGGACAGAAGCAGGGATAGAGATCATGACAGGGACAGGGGGAGGGACAGAGATCGAGATCGTGATCGTGACAGAGAAAAATATAGAGATCGGGAGAGGGACCGAGATAGAGATAGAGATAGAGATAGAGATAGAGATAGAGAGAGAGAGAGAGAAAGAGAGAGAGTTAGAGAGAGGGAGAGAGATAGGGACAGAGAACGAAGTTATGATTATGATCGAAGGTCTCACTATGCGGATAGAGATAGTAGAAGGGACTACGAAAAGAGTAGCCGTGATGATGGCAGTAGGCACTATCGAAGGAGTCGAAGCCGAAGTAGGAGCAGGAGCAGAAGTCGAAGTCTACAAACAGTGAATGCCCATCACGAGCGAGTGCCAAGTCCTGTAAGAGATGGGAACACCGATAAGACATCTAATATATCAAGCAACCTGGCAAAACTTAAAGATATCTACGGCGATGTGAGCGATCAGAAGGGGGATTGTAGCAAAGAAAGAGTTCCTAAAAGGGATGGCAGTGGTGAAGAGGTGTTTAGATTGGGTGGTGGTTCCTGGAAATAGTGAGAGATGAGTCCACTGTATTGAATGCACCATGTTATCTTCATTTAGAATACAGATTTTAGTTTCTTTTGGGAAAGGGAAAGAAAAGAAGTGAATTTGTTGCTTGATTCATCATCTCTCCAAAAATCTATTTCATCTAAAATGTAATAGAACCTGAACCATGGTGGCTGTGTAGTGTAGTAGATTATGATAGAATTGAGTTGGTTACTGCTACTGCTTGTTTTATGTTTGGATGGACAGAGGAAGCCAATGGAACTTCTCTATATACACTGATTACTTCCTTTGATTCAAGGTTTTTCCCTTAAAAACCATATGTTATTATATCTGTCATTGAATTGTTGTTTAAATACTAAATAGGGTTGCAATTTGTTGTACCAAATCCCGTGGCCTCCCTCATCCCAAGAATGAACTTTTTACTAAAATCTTCTGCTTTTAAACTCTCCACTTCTTGATGATTTTTGCTATTCTATGTCATTACTTGTGCATTTTGGGTGGTGAAGGCTAAAATGAGCTGATGTAAGATTTGCTGGTATGATTTTTAGTAGGTTGGTTAGAAATTTAAAGAGATTTGTAAGAAGTTAGAAATTTGAACTTTTTCTCTCTGATTATCGTGGCTTCACATCAACTAAAAGGTGTTCAAATAAGATTAAGTTGAAACTTTGTTGGAAAAACACCCAACATTTAAGACAAAAATATATATTTAGCTTATATGAAAGAATTAAAGACTCGAAAAACAGACACTGCTGAGTTGGCTGCAGGATGTAACATATATAAGCTATGAAATAAAATTAGCACCTTCAAGAAGCTTCTGAAATTGCTATAAATCCAAAGGCCACTCCCCAAAACATTCAACAAAGAGATGGAGAAAAATTGGAATTGCAGAGTTGGAGTAGCCGTGGATTTCTCTGCAACAACCAAATCAGCTTTAATGGGCTGCACGTAAATCTTCTTAGGCATGGATAGATCTCTTAGTTCCCATCCATATTCAGCCTCCCTATTCTGATAGTCCCAAAAAGCTCCTCTTCCAACACACTTCCATTTACATGTATACTCTAATGAAGCTTTCCCTTTTTGTTCAATTGTTTTGCAGCTTTGGTTCCTCTTGGGGGAATTCATAGAGGTTAAGTTTGAGAAGTAATATGGACTGAGTAATGATCTGTCCCTCAAGTTTGTGGCAGCATCCATTTTGTCTTTATGTTATAAAAAGTTTGTAATGTGTGTTTCCTACGTGGACAATTCATTTAACCCTTACTAGGGTTAATTTTATACTTAATTCTTAAATAATACAATTAACGTATCAATTGGGAAAATTTTCAAACGTTATGAATTTTTCTTCATAAATAATTTTGATATGCTGTAGACTCCACATCATTCTTAAATAATGTTGATTTGACAAGAATTTGGTGGAAGTGGTATCTATACTACTTTAGTATTGAAATTTTCCACTATCAACGATGTAGATTTATTAGAAACAAAATTGAAAGTTGAAAGATTGGTTAGAAACCTGAAAGTTTAAAGACATATTAAAAARACTTTAAAATACAAAAGCTAAATGGACGGAGAATTGAAAGTTTAAGCCTATAACTTATAATTTAAGCTTCTCTTCCTCTTCTTCTAACTATTATTTGTAGAAAGAAAGGAGAACGAGATTGATTTTTATTCATTGGTTGGTGAATGAAGCAGGAAAAAGTGGCTAAGGTTTATTGGAGTGATCCATTGTGAGGATTTCAAGTTTCTAGTTATTGGAAACAAGGGTTTAAGCTACACTAGATAGATGTTAAAAGTAAAATTCAAATAGCGAACCTGAGTTTAGTTTAATGGAGATTTGTCTCTCACTAAAATTTACGAGTTGTGATCTGGTATATAGATAGAGACAATTATCTCTATTGATATGAGACATTTTGGATAAAACCAAAAGCAAATAGGAAGGATAACTGTTGTCTTTAAAAAAAAAAAAAGATAAATTAAAATATTAAGCATTATAATAAAGAAAAAAGGACTAAAATTGTAATAAACCTCGTGTAAATAAACATAGCAAGTTTGTAGAGTTGAATGGAAGAGAAACAACAACTTGAACCATTGGAAAAAGGAAAAAATAAACTCTAAAAACACCCACAAGAAGGCACAAACACTCTTCCAAATTGATAAGATTATTACATAAAATAAAAATAAAAATAAAAATAAAAATTATCCTTAGCTTTCAAATTTATGAATCTCTAGCAAACTCCATTGGTCTTCTTCTTCTCCATGACGAACTTCCTCCAAACCGTGGTGATCTCCCTCTGCGTCTCGAGAGCGCTCTTCTTGGCCACAACGACGTCGTTCTTCTGCGTCTCTTCTCCGGCGACCGTCGTCTTGAAGTCCGCCCTCGACGGCAGGCTGTCCAGCTCGTGCAGCACTTTCTCCACGTCCTTCACCAGACGCTCAGCAAGTGTTCGAGAAAAGTCCTCTCTTATCACCACTCTCAGCACCGTTATGTGCTGCGCGTCCGGCGGCATCGTGTACGCCGGCACGATCCACCCGAATCTCCTCAGCATCTCCGACACCTCGAATTCCGTGTGCCGCGAGTTGTCCTTCAGAGAGAACGCCACCAGCGGAACCCCGTCGTCCTTTGACACTATGTTGAACCGCCCTGTGCTCTCCAGCCCCTCCTTCAGCACTATCATGTTCTCCCGGCAGTTCTCCATCACGTTTTGGTATCCCTGCGCAAACACCTCTTTCAATTTCTCCATTTTTGTTTCCCACAATTTTGGGTAGCAATGTTTGTTACTCAGTTAGTTACCTCATAGCCCAAGCGGATCAATTGGTAGTACTGGGCAATCACTTGGCTGGAACCTGTATGTATGGTTTGATCAGACCTCAGTAATTCAGCAATCTTGAAATGAAAACAGAGCAATCAAATGCTGTGTACGTACCCTTTGAGAAATTGAGTGTGAAAGTGGGCTGGTCAGCTCCGAGATAGTTGATGTGGAAGATGAGTTCTTCAGGCAAGTCTTCTTTGTTCCTCCAGATGACCCAACCGATTCCAGCATAAACGAGCCCATATTTGTGCCCACTCACGTTAATGCTCTTTACTAATGGTAGCCTGAAGTCCCACTCCAGCTCAGGGTATATGAATGGGGCAATGAACCCTCCGCTTGCAGCATCAACATGGATTGGAGTGTCCCATCTGTTTCAAATTCCAGTGGACTCAAAAGCTTAGGTTGATGGATTACGTGTGTCGAAAAACGAGAGAACGAGAGAGAGAATTGTACCCAGTTTCCTTGTTCTTTTCGACTAAGAGATCGTTTAAGAGCTTAACGTCTTCGAATTCTCCATTGAGGGTGGAACCCAAGATGGCTGCAACACAGATGGTGTTCTCGTCGACCAACTCCACAGCTTTCTCTGGGTCCATCACATAGTAACCTTCCCTCAGTTTCACCTCCTTCAGCTCTACCTCAAAATACCTTGCAAATTTCTCCCAGCATACCTTCACAAGTAATATGTTTAGGACAAGGCCAGCAAACCATTGCTCAAAATTACTCATAAAGCACATAACAGTACATATGTAGCAAACCACTCAATCTCAAGCTATGGTCGGATTGACATTTTCAGAACATGGAGTGCATAAAACTAGAAACAAAATGATACCCAAGTGGAAGATTAAGCTACTTAATGAATGTTGTAATGCATAAATAGAAATGAGAATAGAGAAATAAGTGATACCTGGACATTAGCTCCAGTGACAATGTTGGGCTTGTCACAAGGCTTGCCTTCAGCCTTCATTCTGTTCTGCCACTTTCTCTTGAAAGCCAAACCAGCCAACATTATGGCCTCCGACGATCCCACAGTCCCCACTCCCACCGCCGTCTCTGACTCTCCCAGTGGGGCATTGAACAAGTGTGCTATCATGTTCACACATCGGTTCTGCTTTCAATTCCATTTCCAACATTGTTAAAATCTTAATCAATTGCTTCCAATTCCTAAACATATCCAGCAATTTACTGTAGATCTTGTCTAATTTATCTGTTAAGTTTATCTAATGTTTAATTGGATAAATGTATATGACTTTTTTCGTAAGGTTTTTGAGAATGCAAATTGATACCAGTCAAATGAATGTATTAAAAGCACAGTTGCATGTCCTTTTTGCTGGGAGACAGGACGGCCAATAAGTTTAAGTTGGTTGTAGGAATAGTCAAATTTGGTTGACACCAAATATTATAGTAAACTAATAATTGACAGACATCTAATATACTAGTTAATCAATAATTCAACTATAATCAGTCAAATTAATTGCTAGTATATCGACTGAAATCAACCATGAGCTTATATCATTTGGGAAAAAAAAAGGAACTATGTTTTTAAAACAGGAATGTGTATTTCAGAAAATGATAAACGAATGTCAGGAATGTGAATCATGTGATTCTTAAAAAAAGCAAAAACAACAATATATAATTTTCAAATTCTGACAGTGTATCTGACATTTTTTTCTTTTTTAAGTAGTTATTTTAAAAATACAAAAAAAATACAAATTTATTTAATAATCATTTTGTTTTTTTTTTAAATTAAATTTATAAAAGCAACATTGTTTAGTTAGTTTATAAATTGGTTAAATTATAACAAAATAAAAAAAATTTTGAAACCCACATAAGTTTCAAATGAGCATTCGTACTCAACTTAATAATTCAAGTTTTATAAAAGTAATTTTGTTAACTAAATAAAGGAATAACATTTAAAAATAAAAAAGAAGTGGACTTTTAGGGAAAAAAACAAATCAAATTACTACTTCCCTAACTGTCATGCATCTCAAATGCATAGGTGAGCTCAACTGTTAAGGCATCTCACTCATTTCTTTGGGGTCAGTAGTTCAATTCTCTTATTATGCTAAAAAAATTACCATGTTAAATGCATAATTAAAAGTTATTTTGTTATTTTTTATTCTCCTATTAATTAGCTCATCTCGAAATTTAGATTCTGACGTGATTTGGAATTTGGAAATTGTCATTTCTCTCGATTTTCTTGAAAAAGAGAAATGTCAATTTCCAATGTAACAAATAATTTAACATTACTTGCTTTTTCGTACCTCAAAATTTCAAAAGTAAACAGAGTGAATCAGGAAAGAAAAAGGAGGAAAGGATTTGAAATCAATCCAAGTTTTTAGAAAGAAGGAAAAGTAAAACCAAACTGTCAAGGGTTAGGCAGAGCCAAACATTTTTTTAAATACAGAATTTTAACATTTTAATTCAATCTTTCAATTCTCAAAAAAAAAAAAAATATAAAAATACTTATAAAAACTTAATTTCTTTATATTATTTGTCAATAAATAAATCTAGTTCAACATTTAAGTTATATACTTCTTTTCTTGAGATTGGAAGTTTAAATTAAAAAAAATAATAATCTTTCTTCCTATGGAGGGCGATGTCTAGAGACATTAGCGGTAGGGTTTGGGCGGACAAAATGGTAATATTACATTCCCTCACACCGGTGAGAAAATGGACCATTTTGGTGGGCCAAGAAGTTATTACTATCGTTTCCCCCTTTCAGTTCTGACAAATGGGATCCATTCCATAGTCCCTTAAATCTCGGCAATTATTGAGGCCAAATTCATTGAAATCAATGACGGCCATGAAATCGAGATATTTATTTGTGCACTTCTACCACGACAAGCTTGGTTTATGTTAAAAGTCTGGACCAAGTCGAATATTTTGAAGACTTGAAAAGAAAAAAGAATTCAATAATATTATTGAAGATAATTTTTTCCCCGACGAAACAAAGATGTTATTGTTGTTACCCTAATTTGCTTTTTTATAAATGTAAACAAAAATGAACAATTATGGAAAAAA